TGTGAATTAAGGAACATCACTTGGAGAATATTGCGGTGGTTTTATCTGCAGGAGCTGTTTACAAAGTTCCTGAGGACCTTCCAGTCCATAGTTTCTGTCTACTTAGACGCCAAATTGAAAGTTACAGCAGTTAATGGGCAAACAATTGTTGTTTGGACCTGAAATAACCCACAAGTGATGTTAACCAGACTCTGGCTGTATTACTTGCCTGGCTAGGTTTACCATTTCCCCTCTCCAGAAATGAACTTAAAGCACAGACCTACCATTGCATAAATGTATATATTTATGTATGTATTATTGCATGTATAAATTTAACTATCTCTTGGAAAGAAATTGGGAAGTGTATTTTTCAAGAAGTGCAGCCATCCCTACATTGCACGTTAGAAGTGTTTAATTCCAAATGTTTGCAACTCATCAATTGCCAACTAGACTCTACCACAGTTTGTAGCCATGCTAACAACTCTATGGTTGTTTCCTTAAGTAATGCACAATGTTACATTAAACTAAATGCTTGTGTCAATGTTACCTTCTTGATATCTAGCACGTAAAATGCACGGAAATCATCCTAAATATTATCATCATTAATATCATTAAGTGCATATAGGTGTTCATGAAAGAGCTTGGTCTTTATTTTTTATTTAAAAGTGCAAAGGGACTGCAGATTGAATGGAGTTTAGTAGTCTGTTCCACCACCATGGGGAGAAGAGTAGGTCTCTGTTGAAAAGGTTGGATCAGCGTAGTGGGCGGGAGGGAGTGTAGACCTGGATGAGAAAGTTTTGGTAAGAAGGAGCCGATTTTGTTGCTGTTTTGTAAGCGAGCAGAAGTGTTTTTCAATTGATGCGACTATAGTAACTGGGAGGCAGTGTAGGGATGAACAGCAGAGTGAGGTGTTGTTTTGGGTATAGGTTGAAGACCAGTCGCACTGCTGTGTTTTGGAACCTCTACAGGGGTATGATAGTACATGCAGGAAGACCTGTGATAACATAACTGAAACGTATCTCAGAAAGTAGGCTGCTTCTGATTCTTTTACCCCCCAGGGGGCTCTGAGGCTTTAAGAAATAATCTGATTATTTAGCAGCAAGATGGTTTTTTGACAAGTTTTTCCTGACATTAATGGTTTCAATGAGAATCCAACTACTGTTAATCCAAGCTAACTACAGCTGCCGACAAAGAGCCTTTGATTCATACTTAAAAGTAAGATTTTCAGTCAGGTTTCTTTTAATCACAGGCTCAAGAACAGATCAATGAAATGTTTCCTGGTGTCTTTCCAACCCAGTAAAGCTTTAATCAATTTCTTTTTGTTGACCGGAATCCCCTGAAACTGACGCCATACCCACAAAGCTCTGTGTCAGTCTGTGACCTGTGACATATGACAAACTCCCCCTGCTCCTTCAACTACTTTCCACGCCCTCACCAAGATGTGGTCTCTGAGCGATCTTTGCTCTGGAGAGAACAAAGGAAGGAAACATCCTTGTTGTTTGGAAACCACACAGCTCCATGGTTCATGGTTTTTTCTGCAGGGATAACCACACTGAATCAGCATCTGATCCACTATTAATTTTAATGAGAAGATGAAAGAAATCCAAGAATGTGTAGGCTTTTCTTTTCTTCTTCTGTCTTTGTGTGTGTGTGTGTGTGTGTGTGTGTGTGTGTGTGTGTGTGTTGTGTGTGTGTGGTGTGTGTGTGTGTGTGTGTGTGTGTGTGTGTGTGTGGTGTGTGTGTGTGTGTGTGTGTGTGTGTGTGTGTTCGTGTGTTGGGGGGGGGGGCTGGTTTTGCAGATCGATGAGTGATAGGAAACCCGGGGAAAAGTCCTGACTTGAGGCTTGGAAAACTGTGACATTGCACTTTGAACCCTTCACCTCATTGACAACAAATACAAAAAGAGGAGAGATGCAAGGAGGGAGGGAAAGCAAAGAAGGATGAATGGGAAGAGGTTTGAAAGCAGAATTCAAAGGGAAGGGGATTAAGCCAAGCTGAAAAAAGAACAGGGGATTTCTACAGATGAAAGAGAAGGAGATGGAGGAACAAGCTCATCTGTTCTTGTATGTTACAGTTGCACATATCAAACACACTCACATTCAGCCAAACAGAATCATCATAAAGCTCTCAACACAGAAGAAAAACCCAGTGAGCATTTTAGATTATCCTAAAAAGATGTTAAAAACAATACAGGCAGAAGTGACAAGACATTCAAAAGTGGTTCAAAAGTCAAAGCTTTAAAGATGATGTCTGACTCTTTAATACTCCATATTTCACAAGGATTTACATTACATTTTTCATCCTGTATAGTGTTCAAATAAATGCATGCAGTCATTTGACTGTAAACATTTATGACTGTGTGCATAAAAGTCAGTGTTTTAAATTCTGACAAAATATGGTCTCAATGTAAACAAGAATTGATATTAATATACTGTTGTGCTGGAAAATGTGTTATTTTGAAATGTCTTTTTATCTTTATCATTGCTGCAACACACTAGCATGCTTGAACGTGCAGCTCCTGCTTCTTCTTCTTCTTCTGCTTTGAGATTTAATGGAAGTTGGATTCCAAGTTGTTGCCTTACTGGCATCCTCAGGTGAGCACGACAATTACGCCATTAACGCAACATCCAAATATACATCAATTTTCAAAACTACGCCCATGTCTGGTAACCTTCTAGTTGGCGCCACACGGCCAATATAGGACCATATTACTTTCATATGAAACTATGAATGCACTAAAACAGGTCTTTGTGTGGACTACATTCTTCTCACTTCTTCAAAATGACTTTTGAGAAAATGCACTCTAATACATTTCATTCACCTTTCAACTTTAAGATGAACTTTTAGACAGTTGAAGATTTAGTGTAAAGAATTTAGTGTGAGACTGGATATCCCCCTATTTCCTCAAACATTTACAGGATTAAAGCCAATCAGCTTCTCACAAGACTATAAATAGAATCTTCTATCCACCACTATTGAAAAACCACAACATTCTCCAGACACACACAGACAGACACACACACACACACACACACACACATACAGCTCTAGCTCCCACTGTGGATACACTGGTATAGTTTGAGAGGAAATTAAAGCCATCATAGAGAGGGGAACTTGTGTGAGAGTGCATTGGCAGTTCAGCTGTTGTTCTCTTCACGGTCTCCAGGATAAAAGTAAAGAAGTTAAGAGGTTTTCATGACAAAGCCAGACAAAGAGGACATACAGGAGAGGGAATAATGAGAGGTCTGGTTTTTATCCTCTTCCACTGATTCTCTTAATATGTGTCTTTCTGTAAGACAACAGCACAATTGCTCTTTATGTCTTACAGACTACAAAATCTAACATGGTAATAAGAAACAAGAAACAAAGGGGATGTTTTTTAAGGCAAATTTTATAGTCTCCAAGAAGTCCCATTCCAGTTAATTTTTTTTTGATCTATTTTCAATTATTGTGTTTTATACTTTTGGGCCCACAGCTAAAATTGAATTAAAACTTATGACTTGAAGCAAACTTGCAGGTCATGTGTTGTCTTCCAAATACACACAGTAGAACTGCCATGACCTGCCTTAAGTACTGGGTTTAGGTCAGGGTTAGGTTGATCAGGTGGAATCCTGTGAAATCACCCATTTTTAATGCTGGGTGCTTATCAGCATGATGTTACAGTGTAACTCTATTATCCTAAACAGACTTCATGAAGTGTCTCTCTTAGTCATCGCAAAAGACCTAAACTAATTTATTGGTGGAACTGCTTTTGCATATTTTCTCAAATGTAACACAACACTGTCAGTGCTTGAGGGATCAGCACAGATTACACAGCACAGACAAACTTCACATTATGAGAAGGAAAACATTCCTCAGATGGTTGGCTTGGCACGTCTGTCTTTTCTGTTTGTGTAAGTGTGTGTGAGTGTGTGTCATTAGCTGGAAGCACTAAAAACAGCCCAATGTCACGGTCATCTTTAACATCTGTCCTCTTTGAAACTTACCCACCAGGCCTCCACACAGACAAACTCAAGTACGTTTCGTTCTAACCAGAAAACAATTCTGCTTTTGCAAAACAAAATTACACAAACACACACAAAGGGCAGACCAAGCAACATGAAAGAAAAAAATGAATAGCCTATTAAGCAGATCATGCAACATACCGAGCACTAAATGGTTAATGTAGTATGAAAATGATGAATATATGCCTTTACAGTTACCAGTCTGTGAGATATTATGGTCAGAAATGTTCAACAGGACCCTCCATCACTGTCATGAAACACCAAAACAGTCCATGTGCAGCTCCCCCAAAGAGTAAGAAGGAGACTGCACAGCAAAGTTGTGTTTTCAGTTGGTTCAGCATAATGCAGCCCTCAGGTATAAAGTAGGCTTTATGGTGGAATAGCACAGCGGTTGTGTCATGTCGCATGTACAGAGGCTAAAGTCCTCATCATAGCGGCTGTGGGTCTGAATCCGACCTCAGCCCTTTGATGCATGTCATCCCCCAATATCTGTCCCAACATTGTTCTATATAGCTGGCCTATCCAATATTTGCAAAAATGGTCCAACAAATATTTTGGGGGGAAAAAAAACACATTTTGTTTTTGTCTTTTCATGAATTTGTCCCCAATACACTATTTGAGTGCAGACCTAATGCACATCCCACATCGTCAAAGCATTTAAAAACATCTGTTCCTTCTGACTTTAAAAGTGGTGGATAAAAAGCCTATACTCATAATTTCATTTTTTTTTTAAAATATCTTCATTGCTGCTATTATTTTATGTCTGAATTCCTCTCGAAATATCTCTTCCACGCTTACTTTCATATGAATTCTGTTAATAGAAGTAGCCTATAAGTTAATGTTCTGCGGCTGCCATGTGGACGTTCATGCGGAGCCCTCACCGCCTCTGTTGGTTAATCCCGCCCACTGAGAGCGCTCAAGACTGCCATAGGATGAATAAAAAAAACGCCGCCCCGCCCACTGGTGGAGTTTCTAACTTCACACACAGTTAAAGTAGACAATCACTCAGTGGGGTCACCCACTCCCGTGCCTAAACCAAGAAGATGCTGTAAACTGAAGCAGACAGTTTCTTAGACTTTCTTAATGGTCCATGAAGGAAACTGTGAAGCCTCACAAACAGACACAATGTGGAAACCCGCGTGCACATTCAGCTCCGCGGTAGAACCACGCGCCGCGGCAGCCGCAGTCACCTGCCTGCTAGTAACCGGGATGCTGGTCTTCACTGTCGGACAGCCGGGCAGCGCTGACCCGGCGGAGCCTCCGGCAGCTGCAGAGGCGGCCGGCGGGAAAGTTTTTTCGGCGTATTTCAGGAAGTTGACCCGGGAGAGAAGAGCGACTACGGGCCCCTCGAGGAAAAGCGCTCCCCCCCTGCCGATGGAGCTCTTGTTCCCGGAGGACGTGTTCATAGCGGTGAAAAGCACCCTGAGATATCACCGGCAGAGGCTGGAGCTGCTGCTGGACACCTGGATCTCCAGAAATATGCAACAGGTGAGCTACTGCCTAAAGCCTACAGACGACAAGATAGGACTACATGTCAAAGTAAACTAAAGTTTTTACCACAGAAAGGCCTGTTTTTTGTTTTTTTTATCTTACAAAATCTTATGTATTATAGCCTAACTTTAAAAGTATAGCCTCCCAAAACATAACAGCTGAAACAGTTTAAACCCTGGAGAGTCATAAACTACAGCGAGCTTTTTATAAGATTATAAGACAGTATAGTTCCAATTCAATGTTGTGCTTTATTCGCTGTTTACGGGTCAAATTACTTTATGTTTAAAAAAAAAAAGGTCAAATTGTGATTTTGGATACATCTCAGTTCCAAAACTGGGGAATAAGTCAATCAAGTAGAACCTGCATTAACTTGTAACTCACTGTTGTAGTTGTTGTTGCTACTGCTGTTGTGTTAACGTGGTGTGTTAGCTGATGACTGGTCACCTGAAGGAAAATGTGAACCAGTAAAACATGGACTGATACTTTTAAGATCACAGCTGTACTTCATCTGTCCTTGTGAATAGGCTACTTTCTATCTCAGTGTGTGTCCCTCATCTCCTGCTGCAATTTCAGTCAAGTCATAACTCCCCCCTGAAATGTTCTGGCCTCTTTGATCTCTCCAGCCAGTCAATTGTAAAACAGAGATTGAGGCCTTTTGTCATGCATGAGAGGGAGATCTGAGGGGCTAAAACAGGCCGACCACACTGCTGCCCATGTGTTGACAGACCAGGGGGGGGGGACATGTAGACAGGAAGGACAATACTATAATAGGAGTCAGATGGATAAATGAATTTCATTAGACAGCCTCTATGAGATGCAGATTTGTCTGTGGTCTGCAAAAACAAAACAATTGTTTAGTGGGGGAGATCTGACTGTGATTTTTGAAAAAACACCCCCCTACATCATAAATACTCGTAGATCTGAAATCTGAGAGGAGGAAATTACATTTGAAAGTAGTTTGCAATTTCAGAGTTGGAAAGTAAAAAAAAAAAAACACCAGTGCAATTTAAACGCTTTTCTTTTTCTAGTTCATCTTTCCACCACTGCTCCACGAGATAGGGAAGCAGCACTTACCACTCCCATGTTATTTCTGGTACATCTTCTATAAGTGCACTAAAATACCTCTCACAATATGATGGTATAATCAACCCATTAATTTAAGTAATAAAGGAGTCATTCTTAAGTCTGAGCACTTTCAACCCTGGTACTTCACAGCTTATATTACTGTGTAATATAAGCTGGTGACTATATTACACTTGGTGATTTACACAAGTGCTTTGTGAGTGTCTGACTTTTATGTCGAATAAAGTGTTGAACTTTTGTGTCTCTTACACCAGTAAACAACCTGAATACAGCTACGACCAATGATTATTTTCATTTTTTTCTTGATTAATTGCAAAATTGTGATATGGCCTATGACCAGTTCCTTGAGTTTAAAAAATGCTTCCCAGGGTTTTTAATCTCTCTGAAGGTAACACTTTAAAGGTAATACTGACACATTTGAAAACCTGCCCCTGAAATCTTTGTGAGTTGCTTATTCACAAACATCAGGACGTTTTCCCTGTCATCATGGCATTGCGTACGAGTAACAGAGTCTGCAGTTATGATGACAGTTTAATGTTTAATGCTGATCAATGTTACGTTGTATAGGACATAGTCACACTATCAACAAAAAAAAACATAATGCCTAACTAAAAGAGCGTGAAGCAGCTTTTAGAAGTGCAGGATGATCACACCAACCGCTGGGATATAAATGTTATCAAATCCCTCCCACTTAATTGTGGCAGTGAATATTTCCTACTGCGTTCACACATCGGTTCCCCAGATGCGGAAATTTTAGTCAGCAGCTGAGTAAAATTTGGATACAGTTTGGAAATTTGACTGTTTGTGTTTCCTCATGCAGCTCACCCTGAATATTTCAGGAGTTGCAGATGTGAACAGGGCTTACCATTGTGTGAAAATTAGTTAAATATCACAGAAGATTTAAAAAAAAAAAAAAAAATATGACCAATTGGAATACTTTTTTTGTTCTGGTTCAAAGAAATTCTCGTTTGATTAACAATTAAGTTGCTTAAAAATGTTTGTTTTGACCTAATCAGAAAACCTGCACTCTCCTCCTGCCACTGATCATCTGTTCCAAGTTAAACGTTAGACACAGTCTCATAGATAAATATTTCAGATCAAACAGTAGAACAGACAACATTTTGGGTCTGATTCACTGTGGTGAATGAGTCAAAGACAAATCTGTTGCTACAAAACACATGGGTCTGTGGCAAGCTGCACCCAGCCGCTTCAAAGCTCCTAATCGAACGCAGACGTGAGTGTGGAGATGACAGCGGTCGCTCTGATTCCCATTTAAACCTCTGAGAGTCGTTCATGTTTCATCTGCTGCAACACACAGACGCGCGCACACACAAACACACTGTTGACATGAAAATAGAGCTTATGTCTGGGAAATCAGCTGGTGTGTGTGTGACGCATTCTTGCATTGGCTCTCACGGTCAGGTGTGTGTAACTCTACCTGTTTCCCAGGCACACCTCTATCCTATAAGACTGCTGAGTAATGGAAACACAGCAACACACACACACACACACACACAAGTTCTCACAGTGTTACCTACACAAACACACATGCCCTGGGAACTCTTCAGATTTCTCATTGGAAGTTTAAAATGCACACACACATGCGCACTCACACACACTTTCTCCTGCCCTGATTGTTGTTGTTGCTGCTGTTTCCTGTGTCGTAAAGCGCAACTTCTGGCGGTCTACTGACCCATTACCCCCCCCCCCCCCCCACTCCTCGCAGCCACATTTTTTTCTTCACACACACACACACCCTCCCCACCTTCCTCCCCTCCTCGTACAACACAGACAGACACCAAACCAAGAAGCTGACTTCTCTCTAGAGGCTCAAGAGGCAGTAGTGAAAAAACAGGCTGACAAAAAGTCACAGCTGTTTACCCCCCCCCCCCCCCCCCTCCCCCTCTCTCTCTTGGAATACAAGACTTGTAGCCAAGATTTTTTTTGACCGAGTTTGTGCAGCTTGGCAATGAAGCTGCAAAGTGGAATCATCAGGGGAGTGTGTTCAGTGTAGTTGGAAAATATTGAAAAAAAAAAGTATTCTCTAGCTCCTCAGATTCATCATATTATAAATTAAACAATGTACATGAGGTTGCAGTGCAGACCTTTACATCTAAAGTGAGATTTACGAAGAGGGATAAATAAAATTGGTATATTTTTTTATCTAAACAGCACCAAATCATAACAAGGACAGGACACTTATAAAAGAGCAAGTCCAGAACACATTCTTAGTTATGTTATTTAAAGAGACACACACCCTTTTGCTGCAAACGCCACATTACAGAAGCACAACCAGACTTCTGGCATCTTTCCCACTGATCTACTCCCAGGCTGCACTGCAGCAAACCATTAAGTATTGATCAGTTGATTTGCATGTTCAGAGTTCTCATGCAGTCTCACACTATTCATTTTAAATACTTCAAGGACCCATGCAGTGTTGCTGAAATTAACTTGACTGATTTAATGCCTTAGTGAATGACTTGTTGCAATCTAAGAATACCGTCCATTAAACATGGACATAGGCCCAGTGATGTCACCCATTGGCTACTGAAGTGGTGTTTTGAAGCCCAACCATGGTGGTTGCCGTATTGTAAATGCTGTCTCAACATATCACCCCTTATCTATGGTAGATTAGCTTAATTAAATGTTCCACCCTACAATGTGTGCCAATAAAGACATGAGACATGAGATTTTCAGTTTTTTTGGGGTGTATGTGATTCCCTGGGCTTTTGGAGCCAGCCTCAAGTGGACACTTGAGGAACTGCAATTTTCCCATTTCTGCATTGACTTTATTTTCAACACTGAAGGTTGTCTCTTAAAGAATACAGCTCCTTGTTATCCCAGCCAGTCTTTCTTTCTGATCAACCATTGATCAGCATCCAACTTGGACCAACTAAAATAATGACAACAAACTTGGCTCCTTCTTCCCTGAACTCCCTCATCCAGGTCTACAATCCCCCCCCCCCCCCCCTCTAAGCTCTGCCAATGAAAGGCGTCTGATCAAACCTTCAGAACCAGGCCCCAAGTCTTCTCCTCAGTAGTCCCCCCAGTGGTGAAATGAATTACCAAAAATTCTTCTATTTTAGGACTATTTGTGCCAAGGAAAAACGTCCTTCACTGTTCTAACAATACAGATTTAGAAAGTCTTACATAAAAGCTGAGATGCAATAGTGTAACCTCATTGTCTTTGTTTCATTTCACATCTATTGTCCTGGAGCCAACACAATATTTACAGACAGTTCTTTGTGTGCACCCGGGGTGTGTGTTCACTTCCTGTGGAAATTTGAGGGGTCTACATGGCTTCCTGAGTGCGCAGTGACCCTCAACCCCTTCACTCATCACATAAACACACTTACACACGTGTGTGTGCACACACACAGACACAGCTGCTCGGCTGCTGATGAACAAGATCAGAACTTTTGTCTTGGCTTCCATCCAATTTAGCGGCGTCACTTGCTAGCTTGTGTGGTGTTATACGTAAGCATGTGTGTGTGAGAGACGGAACAGTGGGATCTTTCACCTGAGATCATAAACAATCGTCTACAATCAAAGATGGCGGAGCAATGAGTACTTCTGTGTGACAGTGTTTTTGTTTCCCTGCTGTTCACTACGGGCTGCTGGAATAACATGAACTGTGTTTGTGTTCTTTTCCATAGACGTACGTGTTCACTGATGGAGAGGACGAGAGGCTAAGGAAAAGGATGGGTGAGCAGCACACACACACGCACACAAAACATAGTTTTAGCTGAATAGCTGCAGTGTTATCTGCATAGTGCAGGAACCAGGCTGCTGACTGGGCAATACTGTGTTTCCACGAGGTGCAGGAAGTCAGTCTAATCAGTGGGCCTTTCCTCATCTCAGTAATACAGTTGTTTAACTTTCAATGAGGTATTCTTCTTAAATATCCACATTACAGATTACAGAACTTGATCTGTAATGTGGATATTTAATAAGTTGTTATCAAGCAGTCAGGCTATAATAGGATCCAAATGTCTGACTTGCTTGTGAAACAAACATTTATTCAAATTTTCTTCATCGAATCCATACTGTTCTTTTTTTAATATTTCCAACCCCTCTGTTTGAGATATTGGTTATTGATTTTGTATTTTATTGATTACTAGGAGCTCACCTCATCAACACCAACTGTTCAGCTGCCCACAATCGTCAGGCCCTCTCCTGTAAAATGGCTCTGGAATATGATGCCTTTATCACCTCTGGCAAGAAGTAAGACATACTTGACACACGCAGTAACAAAGTCTTGTCCTAAACATACAGGTATTCTTTTACTAACTTTAAACAACCTCTGTTGCAGGTGGTTCTGTCACGTTGATGATGATAACTACGTGAACGTCGGCTCACTCCTGAAACTCTTGTCTCAGTACAGTCACACTCAGGACATTTACATTGGCCGGCCCAGCCTTGAGAGACCAATAGAGGCCATGGAGAGGCTCAGCCCCACTGAAATGGTAAGCTTTATTTGGTCATGTCTCCCAAAACTTCATTGTGAAACTACAGTTTCTGGAACTACTGTATTGGATCAATTTGTCGTCCCAATGGTTGCCTATATTTCCTTTAAAAATGTAAATATGTTATTTAAGGGATCATTTCCCTGCACGGTGACTTAATCCTGTGGTTAACCCCCTTTGGTAGTTAGTCCCTTGCTTCTGATGAAAGTGTCCAAAGAAAAATAAAGATGTTTATCTCCTGGGTTTGGCTAAACACAAAGTCAGATCTTCACTGGCCCCAAAGAGAGACACAATACATACAGCAAAACAAATGTTTACTGCAGCTTTATTAATAATAATGATAAGATGTTGTCTGTGTGTGTGCAGAAGCAGGTGCGTTTCTGGTTTGCCACAGGAGGAGCAGGCTTTTGTCTCAGTCAAGGCCTCGCGCTCAAGATGAAGCCCTGGGCCAGGTAAATATTCACCTCGATGAGCGATGAGATTGTTTGAGAGATATTGTAGACTCTCCTCTAATGTAACTCTTGTTTTTCTCTGTGTAGTGATGGTTCTTTCATGACAACAGCTGAGCACATTCACCTTCCAGATGACTGCACTGTAGGATACATTGTGGAAGCTCTGCTTGGTGTGAGCCTCATCCGCTCAGCGTTGTTCCACTCCCACCTGGAAAACCTCGGACTGGTTTCAGATGCTCACAGCCAGGTACACACACATTCACACACACTCACACAAACAGACTCCCTTATCTGCCAAATGTTTAAACAGCTTGTGTATTTGTTTGTTCACCCTTCTTTAGGTGACACTCAGCTACAGCACTGTAGAAAACAGCAAAAACACTGTGAACCTGAGAGGACCTTTGTCATTAAAAGAAGATCCTACAAGGTAAAAAATTAGTTTGGTGGAGCTTTGCTTATATGCATGTATGTAAAATAGACTGCATTAAACGGTTGAACACCTAACAACTAGCATCATTTCACGGTTAATGATACAGTTTGGGGGGGCCTCACAAAACAGCCAGACAATTTTCAATAGCCTTGGTTTTTTTCTGACCATAACACAAAAGAAAGCAAAATATACTCACAGTAACTTAGAGTTTTTAGCTTCATAAATTAATTATTAAAAATTATCTTCTGTAAAGTGAGTGGTTTTTTTGTGACCGGTCCTGAATCAGGTGGTCTTGTATTTTCAAAAGACAGCCTGTAATGTGAATTAAGAGGCCATAACAGAACAGTGAGAGGAAATACCATAGATTGTAAATACCAATAGTCAAAGCCTGAATGATCTAACGACAGGCTGAGAGCTGAAGTTTTAAGCCTACAGAAAAAAATGCCCAGCTATAGATAACATGTTTCATTCATAAAATCAAAACGGATGTGTTATTAAGAAATATTCACCTCACGTACAGCGTGTGCCCAGGAGGACAACAACTAATCCGACCAATATTGTGTTTTGTACCATGCTGTGAACATGTTAAGTTCTGCTGTAAAAACAGGCTTTTTTTGAATATGGTGTGTATGTGACTTTTGGGGATCTGCAGGGTTTTGCACTTCTGCATTGGCTTCATTTTTCAACACAGTATATTGCTGCTTGGGGAAAGACATATAATCCAAAAAGGCAAACAAAACAAAACAAAGAAAAACCTGATCTTATCTCCAGGCTTCCTGATATAAAGCAGGTTTATTTTTTATTAGTCCCTCTTCCCTTCTTTCTTCTGTTTGGTGTTGTCCTCTGTTCAGTCATTGTGTTATTGTGCAAAGAATCTGGCTAATTGTCATTCTTGTGTACCTTGACACTGATGGCATTGTGCTACAGGGAGGGATGGAGGGTGAGATGAGATAATCATGAGATAAGCTTGTTGACATACTGGCATGTAGGGGTTAATTGAAAAATGTGGAGAAAAATAAAAATCATTGGTACAATCAATAGTACACACTGTGTGTTTTTTTTAATTGTCAGTTCCAGGAAAGGCTTGAGTTGTGCAAACGTGTACTACAATCCTCCTTTATGTAAGGGCTTCTCGTTGTGAATGTTTTACTACTACGACAAGTTTCCTGGCTTTGTTTATTGTGTGTTTGTTGATGTATGCACAAGACTATTTGTATTCATGATCTAATGTTTGAAATCCCCAGTGGGCAGCTTCCAGGCATTGTGACACTCATTTCCCTCTTTTTTTCAGGTTCAGGTCGCTCCATTGTCTGCTGTACCCAGACACTCCTTGGTGCCCAAGATCCCAGTGACTTTAACACCCATCAAGAGAGACACACAGACTGGTGGAGGACAATTATTAAGTGCCTTAACTCAATATTCTCTTATGCTGGGGGAATTCAATGCAGTTGCACTTTTAAAAAGAGAAGAGGAAAAACACAAGTGTGATTTTGATGGCTTTGTAGAATCCAGACTCCATATCTGAAGTTTTATGTTGTCAGTGTTCAGTATTATCCTTTCTCTGATATCATGATGACTGAGCACTTTGATGTTTTCTTTCTGCTGCATGAAATTTATCATGTGATACAAAAACATTTAGGGGAAAAATGTTTTTTTTTTTTTTTTTTTTAAAGAAATGTTGAGAACAAGCATCTCAACATTTATAGTATTAAGCTAGCGGTTAGTTTTGCTAACAGGAAACAGTTAGCTTGGAATTTGTCCAACGTAACATATATGTAAGTGTGTGTAAACTAACAATGCAAAACGTTTTAATACGTGACTTAAATCAGTGCTGGATAAAACAAGATAATCCAGACAAAACCAAGCTAGCTGTTCTCCTGTCGCCAGTCTTTTTGCTAAGCATTGGATCAAGCTTTGAAGCATCTATGTTTTGATAAGAAGGCAAATAATGGTATTTTCCAAAAATGAACAAACTGTCACCTCTGTGACAAAACATTCTTCCTTTATCAATTTAAATGGGTGGATTATGAATGTGTTATGCTGTTTGACATTTAAAGAGTTATACAGTAGCACTATAACAGACATAAACTAATAGGTTTATTAGAGAAATGACTCATGTTGGGTTGTCCTTAATCTTTCTGTGCTTTAAAAGCAGCTGTTACAACTGAACGCGAGACGTTGAGTTGCATTCTGTACCTAAATAAATAAATGTACAATAAAATGAAGAATCTGAAATGTTCATGATCTTTCCAGTATCTGGACTCTACGTAGATATCAAATTTGGAGTTAATAAAAACAGTTTTTTGGTCAAATACTTGATTGTGTTTCTGAGATTGTGTTCTTGTTACATTACATACATACTAAGAGACGGGGCTTTGACCTTTTGTCTTTGACCTTGTTTATGAGCTACTGGGTTCCTGTCTGGAGACAGAACCACCACTGAACTTACAAATTCCAAAACACACGCACACGCACTAAAACAACAGCAGTCCTCTTATCTGATCAAGCCTAAAACACGGCCCAGTAAAGACAAGGGCAAAACACTAGCTAACAGCATGACTTTCTATGTGTGGGTACGACATGGCCTAATTTCAAGGACATTTTTCAGAATAAAGACCAGTCAATTGGGGTTGGTCCTATCCCATCAGAGAAAAAACATTTGTGGACTTTTTGGTGACAGTAGGGTAGGGTTTGAGGGTCACGGTTAGTTCATGTTAGTTAATGAAAATCTTTGTGGGCTAAAGTGACCTGAGTAATCAGTGTGTTAATGTGGGCTTGTTTTACTCTTTTATGCTGTGGGGACTCAACTTCCTTAACGGAACAGACTGAAGTCCCGATGTGTACATGTTTGTGTAATGGCCTCTCTCCCATTGTGCAAACCAAGTGTGACATCTGCTGGCTGCATGCAGTAGTGCACATACTAGCAACAAACAATGGGTGTATTTAATACAGTAATACAGTGAGAGTAAAATGACACATGTATCTAATACAAGCAATCGTCAAGATTAATCCAAAAACAAGTTCACTATATTATATTACTATATAGATTTTATGAGCTTTTGCCATTGATTTGAAAGCTGAAGATCAACAGGGAATATGAGGAGAAATAGTGGGAATTATGCACCAATTACTGACAGGACCGGGAGTTGAATCTGTGCCTCTGTAGATGGGGTGCCTGTTTCACTGTCTAAGACTTGCTAAACCAGTGCCCGAAGATGCTGATTTTAAGAAAATTTGGAGAGGGAACAACTCAAAATCTTATTCCAAGAAATGCTGGTTTCTCATCTAAAACATAAGTATTCTATATTAAAAAAAATGTTAAAATGTTATCTCAAGATACCTAACAAAAATAGTGGGTATAGATCATACTCTTCATTATATTATTTATACAAACTAAAAAAGCCTTTCAACAGACAGAAGCCTGTTGAACAGGCATCAGTCGAATCTGTGCTGCTTGGAAAGTGGGATAAAGAGATGCCGAAAGAAAAGACACATACAGTAGAGAATAACAGAGCAACAACAATAACAACTACTACAACAATGAATAAGATAGATTTATAGCTACAATGCCAGTGAGAACGTGTTGTATTAGTAGTAACAACAAAGTATTATAATAGATTGATAATTAACATCAGCAACTATAATGAGTATGCAGTTGAAGTTGAGCAGCTCTTAGATTCATATTAACATTTTAAATGATAATAGAATAAGGCTGATATTAATAGGTGTAGCAATTGGAGTTGGGCAGAACAAAAACAAGTAGAACCAGAGAAAATCATATTTTTCCGGTAGTCCTTTAACACTCTCCCGAGCTGTATGATCATTGCAGATTAAGAGTAATTGTAGCTTAATTGACACTTAGAGCACTGCACCCTGATTGTGAATTACAAGTTACATCAAGACAGAAACCTCTTGTCTTTCATCGGAAAAAAACACAGCTTTCCTCAGTATGTTAAAGTTGCTTTAATTCCTTTTTTTAAAACATTTATTCCAGAATGATATCATAACCACAGTTTTGACATGTACATCATTAATATCTTAGTTAATTCATCAGAAAATAAAAACAGCCATAAAAAACATTGTTTGTCTGACACATCTGGACCAAGGTGTATTGGAAGTCCTGTAATACCACATATACACGCAAAAACATGACTTACCCTTAAACTTGAGTGTTGCTGTAATTTAAGACACACTGCATCCGATGGGTTTCATCCCAGAATTCATTGCACAGGATTTAAAATACAACCTCTTAAGTCAGGTGTGCAGACGACACTGGAATAGTCTTATTAAAACATTGCAAGACAGAGTCATTCACCATTAATAAGAGAGGAAAAACGCTGCCCTTGCCTTTATTCTCCTACAAAACAGCTAGCTATTATTTTATCTTTAAAGTTTGATTTTTACAAGACAGAGAAAAATAAAAAAACATGTTGCGATATGAAGTGTTGTAAGAGTTTAAAAACATTATGAAAGGCCATTAATCAGTGACTAGTCCCACAGATCTTAACATTGTTTCCATCGACGTTGCAAAAAAAAACACTGTAAAGTTCTAGACCATAGGTAGCATTGTTACCATAACATGGACATTTTCTTTCTAGTATAATCACACAGGTAAGATTGTCTCGCTAATACGAGAAGTGGTCATTGATTATTAATAGTAACATATTAAAATGCTGTACAGGAATGGGTGGTTGACATGTGTTTGAGAGAATGTGCTAATTTCTACATTCCAGGTTTTTCTGAAACGATGCCTCTACATACTACATCACCCAGAATGCAAACAGATACCAGTGTGATGTCACAGTTGAGTAAGGGGCTTGTAGTTACTACCTCTCTAGAAGTGAATGTAAACAGGTAAAAAGTTGTAAAAGATGTATTTTGGATGAGATCATGTGTGTGTTTTTAACGAAGATGCCTGTACAGCAGGTGTGTTTGTGTGTGTGTGTGTGTATTTGTGTGTATTATAATATGCGTGTATGAGAGCATGCGTAACATCTGTGTTGTATTGACTCAGGCTAGATAGGCTGGCCCTTGCTTGCTGCCAGTCAGACACACTGACCACTGTACTTACACACAGTAACACTGAGATAGAGCAATAGCCAATCAGGCTGCAGTGATGTCACACACACACAGGTTCACGGATACAGTTTTTATACACTGTACAGAGAGCTTTATAGCGGGAGGAAAAAAAATCCACCGGCAGTGTCCCAGGCAGTGTGTTTTTACTTCTCCATCGTGCAGAGTCACCTTGAGGAGAAATTGTGCTTGTGGGTTAAAAAAATAAAAAAATAATAGAAACAAATGAAATAGTGGCTTCGGGTCAATCAGAGGCCACCATTTGAAAAAAAAAAAAAAACACAGGAAGTAAATAATAAAAACAAAACACTACAGTTTGTCACAGTTTCACATCCCGAATTCCAGCTTATGATAAAACGTAAAAAAAAAAAAACCTCCTCTTACTTGACTTTCCCTGTAACACTTTTATGTAACATTATATACCAGGGACATTAATTTTTTTCTACAGTTTTCTGCACAAATTTTCCATTAAGGATTGATTACGTCTTTTCCTTCATCTGATTACATCCCTGAATGAAAACAAAACATTAAGGTAACAAAAGAAAATCTGCTCTCCTCAGACCTGATCATCTCAATGGACCTCAACTGGCTTATTTAGCACCTTGCAAAATGTGTAGTCGCAATATTTCTAGTGAGTCTTATTCCACTTCTGTCCATCGTTTTCCTGTTTCAAGTGTCTTTTCCGGTTACAGTCTGAGGGAAACATTCCAAGTCAGTATTTTTTTCCCTTTTCTGAGACATTGGAGTAGGAGACGAGGACAGAATCAGGCATCTCACAGTTTTTTAGAGTTTTTTGGCACAGGTTGAGCCTTCTTATGCCCTTTATCTCTCACTTGGTTCCCACAGTCCACTTCAGGATTCCTGGCTCTTGTTGGAAATGTGTTTATCGACTCATGTACTGCATGTGCGCCTAAACAATTATGAAGAAACATGTGGGCAAACTTTTCAAGCTCACAATTCAAGTCTTAGTTCGACCACAAAGTTAGGCTATAGAGAATGTGTATGTGGTGGTAACTTTTTTATCTAAACATGGCTTTCTGATTCACTGGCTTGTTAATTATACAGATGTGTGGTCGCCTGTGTGTGTGTGTGTGTTTGTGTGTGTATAAGAGATACAGCAAAGGTTTCCATGATAAACACACAGCTCACCACATCACCAGTAATGATTCAACAGTCTACTTTTTATGATATCAGAGTAAAGAACATGTTTACTATTTACAGCTCTGTACAGTGTGTGTGTGTGTGTGTGTGTGTGTGTGTGTGTGTGTGTGTGTGTGTGTGTGTGATCTTGTTTGTGTCAGCGTGTGGTGGTCTGAATAGTACAGGGGATTGAGTGGTGGGAGTGACTATCTCCATTTGAGGGCAGTTTGCGGATCCCAGTGGACGAGATGAGCATTGAGGAGAAAAAGAAACTCGAGGCGGAGCCAAGGCGCTCTACCCGCAGTGCATTGTGGGTAGGATGAGGAGAAGAAATTGAATTTCTTCTGTCTTTTTTTTTCTTCTGATAAATGTGGTTGAGAAGTAGAGTTGGACCATCAAAGTGTAGTCCCTTGCTGAGGCGTTAGGTTGATGAGTCCTGTGTTGTATGTTGACAAACTGTGTGTTGCTTGATACTCTCATCTTTGTTGAGTTGGACCTTGTGTATTGGCTTCAAGAACTTGATTTAGGCAGTACTGGGATGAACTGGTGGGACCCTGGTCTCTAGTGGACTGAGGACTGTGGACGGGCAGTGGGGTGAGGTCGGCTGGCAGGGTCCAGTTGGTCGTTGGGTACAGAGCGTCGGTTCTGGTCTGGTCGGTTGGTTGCCAGGTACTTTGCCCTCATACTAGAGGTGTACTGAGGAGAGGAAGGACAGTGAGGAAATAAAAGGTAGGAGAGGGTATAGCGAATGAGTGAAGGAGGGGAAATATGATGGGGAAGAAGACAACGAGGGGGAGATATCAAAGTGGGAGACAATTAGAAGCAGGAAAAATAGTCAACACCATAAAACAAGCATTCTGTATACAGAAGAATACACAGAGTAATGTTTAAACAGTCTTAATAATCATCGGATCAGAAAGTGAGATAGCGATAGAAATTATTAAAGAGAGAGATAGAGAAAGACATTGATAGAGAGATATAAGGAGATTGATATGTATGACATAGAGAGAGATGGATGGAGACAAAGAGAGAGACATATAGAGATACACAGCGGTAGACTCAGCTGGAGAGGGATGGAGAGATAGAGAAAGAGAATTAAAGAAAGACAGATAGGCTAGAGATGAAAGGATGGATAGATAGAGAGAGAGAGAGAGAGAGAGAGAGAGAGAGATGTGGTGTGAGGTGATGTGAGAAAACACGTACACACAGGTACAGCAGAATAACTTTGACCAGTCATTTGGACAGCCGGGGGTTTGATTACAACAATCACTCAACAGCTGATTAGGTCTGGATGATGTTATTGTAAATTAGCAGATATGGTCCAAAGTCAGTGGTTTGTAGTTAGTGCTCTAGTTCTGATGTAGTAGGTTAGCCTGGTATGAGTTAGTGGTCGCTCGTGAGCAGCTAGCTAGTTACTGTTGGAGGTCTCTCTCTAGTCCACATCAGTGCAGACCCTGATGACGGCTGAGCACTGCAGCACAGGATGGAAGGCCAGGTCGACACTAACAATGATGAATTGTGGCCATTTTACAGTTCATCAGTGGAGGTGGGAAACATGTGCTCCTGTGACTGTTTAATGGTGAAGGGTGAAGGGGCAACAGAAACAGAGGAGACGTGACACCTTGACAAGAAAATGCAAACAGAGACACATTGTGGGAACAAGGGAGGGAGCAGGAACTTTAGAGGTTTGGGCTCAAGATTACTCAGGGACAGAAGATTTTTCAGCTGCAACCGCAAGGGACGGCCAGGTTACATGGAGCAAGGAATGTATCGCAAAAAGGTGTTAACATGTATTTATTATCATTCTAAATACATCTTTGGAGTTTACGGTATTTAAGTCCCAAATGCATGCAGTTGATACTGCATATAATATATCCACTTCTTCAGGCACAGAAGCACCTTCTCAAAGGTAGATTAATCAACCTGTTTGAGACAAATATAAAAACAAAAATGTGAAATACAGACACCTGCAAGACTGGCAAATGTATGTAAATTGGTATTGAAGAAAAGCTTCCAAGAGGTTTTGCAAATGACGCTTCTGAGCTGTTCCGTGGTTACATGTTCCCCTAAGCTCTACCCAACCAGACTTTTTACATCAGAAATAGAGGACAGCTTTGTGTCTACCATAGCCAAACAATCACACTTATTAGAAGAGGGGTGGCTCTCTTTTGAGGCAAATTCATATAATATGTACAACAGACTTCTTTTCAAGCTTCCAGTTATCCCAGGCTGCCAAAATGACCTTCATAAAGACGACCCGTGATCACAGTCTAGTATGAGCACAAAGTACACTTGCAGTGGTGTAGGGATAAGGGGACTACCTTCCAATATCCACACTAGCATGCTATAAAAGCAAAGGATATAAGATCCAAGCACATTTATCAACACCATGCTTCTTTCATTACATTTTGAGATAATAAAATGTCATCCCTGAGGGTTCTGCGTTTTGAATACCAGATGCATTGTGGGTATTGGAAGGTAGTGGAGGGAGAGTGTGTTCTAGAAAGTGTGCACTTACAGAGGGTGGAGGGGACTCCCTGCCAATCAGGGGGGTGTTCTCACACCGAGGGTTCTGAAAGTTTGCGTTCTGGCTCCTGCATTATAGAATAAGAGGTTACTGCATGTGGTCACCCTGCCACTGGTGCCCAGTTGTAGCTGCTGTAGTTGATCTGTGGTCTGGTTGTGATACGGTCTTAATGCCTCTCTGACAAATGACCTCAGTAATAATTAGAGATCAGAGACTAAAGCTCTGTGGTGCCTTATGGCCTGGGGTCAAACACCTCTGCCTCAGTCCAACATACTTAACATTCCTTCTTAACAATGAACAGAAAAGAAACATTTCCTCACACAATGGGACACAGAGTCAGTAAATAAGTAATACTATCAGTATAGGGATCCTCAGAAAACTGATATTGGACATTACATTTTAAACCTGCATATGAGTTAGTCAGCTGCCGAAAATATAACAAGATTTAAATTATATATTTTTTATTAAGCTACAAATGTCTTTGAAAGGAAAGTTTGAAAGTTAACCAAAGTAAGACGTAATTTCCTTTCATTTTGCCATTTTTAACAATGCGCCTGATCACAATCCCTGGGTTCATATCAATAATAGAGCGGCCTGAAAAAACGCAGGGAGTATTGCAAATTTACAGTATCAATGTAAAGAGATACAGTATGAAAAGTATACTGTAGCAGGTAGCTTCATGTAAACAGCAAACATTGCTCATTTTTCAGTAAAAACTCTGTTTCCGTTTAAAATACATTTGAAAAATTATATTTGTTTTAAAGTCTCCATAAAATCAAAAATACATGTTCCCAACGTATATATTATCTGTCAAATGCATCTCAATAAGGTAATATCTACAAAAAAAAAAGCTTCTAAAAAAAGCTATGCCAAAGTGAGGCTAACAATCCAATCAAAGTCGTCCCAACATTACGTCCCGCTTTTTATCTTGTGATTGGTTCTATCCTGTTTCAGTGGGAAATACGTCAAGACACGGCAATTTAACACTCTCTAAGTTCCATTTCATGGGGACTTCAAAGACCAGTTAGTGGGTTTCTATGTTTGATCCATGAACTTTATATGTCTAGTTTATATTACTGCCAAGAAATGTTCTACTGTTAGATATTTAGCTCATTTCCAAAGAGATTGAACATCTGATCATTTTGCTGCTAACAGCAGACTCTTGATAATTAGGTTCCATTAGCACAAATAGGACAATCATTTTCCTTGCTGAATAATGGCTTAACTTGGACTAAGAAGCTAAAATGACTTCAACTTCACTGTTAAGGAGTACCTTACCAAACTGACCAAATCTGACTACAGGGCCAAGGGAGGTAAATCTCTTTTAGACCTGTTGTACCCTTTAGACTATAGACAACGTACTGCCAAGAATGCAGGATTTGTTTATGCCCTTAAAAATAAAAAGTAAGTCCTTGAATTGTCCAAAAAGACAAAAAAAACAACAACTTAAAATGCCACAAGACTTTCAGAATAAAGGCAAGATGTATCTCCTTATTTCTTGCTGAAGAAGTGTATTTACTGGTATTTCTTCAGCAGCACTAGCACATAGTCTATAAGTAGTGCTCAAACAGAAGCAAGCAGTGGCAGACTACAGAGTTATATATGATTGTTTCTTTTGTTTGTACTCATGGCAAACAAGACTGTGGCAAACTGTAACACATAGCAAGCAGGGTGAACATTTGACCTTACGGTATGGCGAGTGCAAACCTAAATCATCTTTAATATGGTTTTGGTCTAGATTGTGGACTGAAACAGGCAGGCAAGCTGATACAGCAAGCAAGATTTTTATCAGCATCAAAGGGACAGCTAGTGAAGGGCTCTGGCTCACTTAGTGAAAATAATGTTGACTGTGTCACAAAGGACATGCAGACTCTAGCGGAATACAGTAAAAAAAACAACTAACTATTCTAACTAACAGTATCACAGGCAGTGGACGTTGCTATACTGCTGATCTGGGTCAAAGGGGCAAGCAGCTACCAATAGCAAGCAGTGTATTGATCCTGCTAGCCTCTAGCTAGCAGGGGATGCTAACTCACATGTATTCAGTGACGGGGGCATTGCTGACAGTGTGGGCTGTAGCGGGCAGGCTAGCTTCACTACCGTAGCTGGAGCCACAGCTGTAGAGACTGGGCATGTGAACACGGTACAGGTTATCGTGCACACCGCCCCGTGAGGCACCCGACTCGTCCTCTCCGTCTTCCTCATCCGTCCTTCAATCGGTCAGGGTTAGGGCAGGGCACGAGAGGGCACGATGAAGGGGGAGGGGGAAAAGGTAGAGGGGAGTGAGATCCAAGAGAGACAAGAGAGTGTAAACAAGTGGCTGAAGAGCAGCTTAGGAGAGGGGAAGGTGCACTCGTACTATATGGAGTCCCCTGATTAAAAAGATTGTGTAAGGCCACACCTTCAGCCTCAAAGCAGCTAAACAGGAAGACAAGGACCATGGGCAGCGTTCATCTACAAAAAAAAACAGGTCCTTCTTTAATTCAGCAGAATCTCTGTTATGTCTACACAGCCTAGAGTGGACCCGTGAAGCTGTATTTAATTGTTGTGTACAGTTACATGTCAAACTGTATAAAGATAGTTTACTCTTGTATATCATCCTAAAGCTCTCCAGTAATGTATGAACATGCAATTATTTTCTTCATGCAGACAGCTTTTATTAACACACAGAATTTGCTCACGTTCGTCCATCTAAATGTCCTTTTCAAATAGTCCAAAGAGAATCAAAAGTCAAAGGTCCATTTTCTTCAAAGTACTTCATGCATTACTGAGCGCTCCATGAAACTCAAAGCAAAAAAATCAGAAAAGAAGGTAGATAACATGGCTTGTTTAAGAACCATTTTCAGGCATAAAATGGTTAAAAAATGTAAAAAAAAAAAAAAAAAAAACGGCCAGCAACGTAAGAGAATGAGGCATCAAATAAGATATGTGCTGATTTGGAAGGTGAATCTCTGGCTACAGAAATGTTTTGGCTTTTCAAATGCTTTAATAAACCATAAAATACATTAAATGTGCATATGCAGTTCTTATTGAGTACTTTTAGACTACTTTTGTTTTTCTTTGTTGTTGTTTTTTAAGTCTAATCCAGCTGTTCAGTTGCTAACAAAGTCCCAACAAGCTGGCCGTGGTTCTTAGAAGTAAAGAATTGGGCAGGGTGTATGAAGAACACTTTAACAGAGCCCCTATGTTTACAGAGACAAAAGACACAGAGAAGTTATTGTATTGACTGGCCACTAGATGGAGATGTTTCACTCAGGCAACCAAAGAGGAGCGTAGCTGTGCAGCCCATTAGACACAGTCAGACTTATAGCAACCGAACCCCCATGAACATTTACATTGGCTTAATCCAGGGACTTTATTTGTTTACCCATGCTTGGATATACACAAACATCAGTGGTCATGCACACACAACAAATCAGTGTACAAAACGTGTCATTATGGCACCTTTATGGCAGCCTGGTTTCGTAACTCAAATCTTTCCCCCAACGATTAATTAAAAAATAAAATAAAGGGTTGTTTGAACGGGCGCTTGAATAGACCATAGGGCCCTTTAACGTCCGATATTGACCATCATTCGCTGAAGCCCAAAGCATTTTCCAAATCAGGACAGGGAGAGAGGAGGAAGGGACGGAACAGAAGGAAGAAGTGGGGCACACAACAAAAAATAGAAAAAATGGGGTGATACAAAATCTAACACAACACTGGTTCTTCAAGTCCACAGCGGATAATAGAAAATAAGAGATATGTACAAACATAGAGTCAGCCAGACTGGCAGTGCTGACGGAAAAACAATAAAAGAAACAAAAAAGTTGCTGAGAAAACCGGATGGATGCAAAGATAGGCAGGAAGACTATAGAAGGATACAAAGAGCTCAGGAGGCAAATACATTTAGAGAGTGACATGCATGGGCACAGAGGAGATTCTTGATTGGCTTTCCCAATGTTCTCGGGCCATAGGATGGATTAATTTAACCATCAAGGAAGTGGAATTAGCATCATGTTAGCTGTTAGTGTACAGATTAGCTAATCAGATAAGCGAATGTAACAGCTGTTAAGAGTCTTTCTTGTGTTTGCGAAGGAAGCTGTGTGTGTTTGTGTTTGTGTGTGTGTGTGTGTGTGTGTGTGTGTGTGTGTGTGTGCTACCTCTTGCCAGGCCAGGTGTGTGGCACGCTGCACACAATGGAGGAGAACATCAGAGCAGTGACAAAAGAGAAGAGAACCAGGTAGATGACACCTTCCACACCATCATAACAGAGCCCGGTCAGAGCCTGGACGTAGTCCTACACGTCAGGAAATAGCAGAGGAGTGAGTTGTGTAAGAAAGTGTTGGATTTTAGGTTTTTCTTTACCACAACACTCAAAGTGACTCACCATGTGTAGGCTGCGACAGTCCACCAAAGCGGTCAGCTGGTGAAGGCCGACCTCAGTGGAATTGAGCACAGACTGGATTTGCTCAAGACTCCCCTGGGAACACAACGCAACGCTTAAATATGCACGCTCAAATATAGACATCCACCTTCACACACACTTTATAAACACGTGTGTTTCTAACCGCCACTTTCATCTTTCTCTGAAGGATGCAGATCCACTCATCCGTGAAAATAAAGACCTAAAGATCATTGCACACAGGAACAGCACACAAACCTTGGTGTTGGCATAATCACGTGCTGCTGATCTCAGTAGCTCTGCCACATCATCCTGCATCTCTACCAATGCTTTGTGACTCCCTGACAGCCTCTACAGAACATACAGAGACACAAGTGAAACAAACAACACACACACACACACACACACACACACACACACACACACACACACACACACACACACACACACACACACACACACACACACAAGTCCAACTTCTGGTTTTCAATTTAAAGGGTGCTGGGTTAATCAGGTAAATCAGCTGAAACTGAGAAATTAATACAGAGAGCGATACTTTACCTGCTGGAATGGGTTAATTTGGCCAGAGCTGCACCTCAGATAATACTGCAGGATATCTGAGAATGCACAAAAGAATACTTATCAATATAATGATAATAGATTTAATATAAGCGGATCATTCACTACATGTATAACTTTCTAAGATCATTACTGTTTATAGAGCGGTGTTAAAAAACAGATAATCATGTATGTGTGTTTTGATGTGTGAATGTGTGTAACAGAGGCAACATCTGCGTTCTACTGAGCGGAAACAACTGACAGACAGCAGGAGTCATTAGACAAGCGCAAAGAGGGAAGTGAAGGAGGCAGGAGAGGAACTGGAGCCGCAAGAGAAGTAAAGAGGGATATAAAAGGATGAAGAGAGAGAGAGAAAATCAGATAATGATCCTAAGTGAAAAGCAAAAATGTGCTCTGAATATTTCATTAATTAATTTATTTTTTACATCTGGGAATGACAAGGAGGAAGAGCAAGTGGGGTGGGGGGTGGGGGGGTGTAGTTGCAGGATTGCTGGTGCATTGCAGTCAGCAGAGACAGAGTAAGAGCTTTTGGAAACCAAAGTGTCAGTCTAACCCAATCCCCTTGGATACACACACACATTCATACACACACAAACACACACACACTGGTTTCTTAAAATAGAAGCAACATGTCAGGGTAAAGGCAACTGTCAGTGGGAAAAAGTTTATTAAAGATGCTTGTGCTTGTTTATAAACCCAAAGTTCCATATTACTTGCATTATATTTGTTGTTTTTAATACTCGTGCTTCTAAATTTTCTGCTTGCTCTTGCAAGATTGATGTTTCAAATGAAAAGTGTGTGAAAAATAAACGTTTTATTATTACTAATACTGAGATAATAATCACGTGTGTGTATGCAGGTAGAGTCTGCACTATTTTTATGCTTCAAAGTTCTTAAGGTCTTCTTCACCCCCATCCCCACCCAAAAAATGAAATGAAAATTAAAAAGGCAGCTAGCAGTTCACTTGTCGTTCTTTTCATCCTTTATACCTTGGTTGATGACGGCATTTTCCTTGGTAACCCTGGTGATGTAGGTATCCGGGGAAACACAGAAGTCGCTGGCTGACTGTAAGACGTAAGCACACATGACACATCAAGCTACAGCAACATTTGTGCTGCATACACTCACTCCCTTGCAGCAGTGGGAAAAAAAAAAAGATTACATCATTGCAGAGAGAGAGCCAGAGAGCCTGGCGATGTTGCCATGGTTATACTTACAGCAGCGACAGCCAGTTCCAGGCCCAGAGACCCCCAGCTGATTATCAGAGTCAAAACCCCAAGCAGACACACTCTGAAGGACAAAAAATACACAATTTTAAGTCCACATTCTGCTGAAAATCATGACGTGCAACATGCAGTTCAACAGAGTCCATAGAAGATATGACTCATCCAATAGGAGGATTTTTTAGGGTGTGATGTAGAGTACCTTACCCAATCAGAGTGCCTCTAGAGTTGCGTATCAGGCCGAACAGCACCAGAAGGCAAATAAGGACATCAAACAGCAGCAGGCTAAGATACCCCAACCACCTGTGAAAGGACGCATTTACCACTGTTTTTATACAAATAGAGAATATTTCATGATGGTTTTAATCACCCTGGAAACAAACACTCACCAGTAAGCCAACAACAAGCCTTGCCTTGTTGGGACAGTGCTAAAGAAACCTTTTACATGAAATACAAAGGATGCTTAAAATATACCAAACTCATAATCTCTTTGTAATCACTCATTTATGTTTTTTATTTTTCCAAAAATGGCAGGTAATAATGCAAAAAAGGAAGCTATCAGTTAATTTATTCAACATGATTTTTGTTTCAGTAGTTTTCATGCTTAGTTAAAACGTTATGTTGAGACAAACGTAGGTGATTATGTAAGGGACCATGTACCGTACAGTGAGTGGGATAATGTAGAGCCAGGGTACATGCCTGACCCTTTAAGGGATTACTTCAGCTATAATGACCTGCTCACTTTATATAAGCCTGTTTAATATATATAATGATTTAAAGGTGATCTTACTGCTTCTGCTAGAATATCTCGTTAGATTCTACTTTTATAGATTCTACTTTTCTTTACTTTGTCCAATGCAATAATAATACATTTGCAACCTTCTTAAAATGAGCCCACTTTGTTACAACACATTTAATTTGAAGGTGAAGTGAGACAAGGTCAACAGGAGCTCAAACATGACTGTGACTGTGAATTTTTATCCTTATTAATGTCTTTTATTCCAGCTTTTATGTATTTCATCCCTGGCTTTTCTGCGCTTTCAAAATAAAATTGTGTTCTATTTTAAATTGCACTAGTGCACAAGTACTTTAGATTGGTATGATTAGACTTAGTTCTTCAGAGTCTGTGGTCATAGCTGGGTCCATAGCGGATCTAAATTATTCATAGTAGCGGTATACTAAACAGAATTTGCAGAAAAAGAATGCCATGATTGACCCAATCAGAATTGAGCAGCCAACACCGCAATGTAATAAATGTTAAGTTGAAGCCACTAGTAGGTCCCAGATCATCATACTATACATATTATACAAGACCTTCTGTAGATGAATATGCAAGATACAGTAAAAAAATCAAATACATTTATGTAGAATAAAGTTACATTATTTTGTAAAGCTTCTTTGTTAAACTTGGCTTTCCTTGTTTAGACTTGAGAGCTGTTTCTGTTCTTTCTGTTGACATGTTAACTGTTCTCATAGCAATGTATAACGTTGAAGGCCATTTGAAACTGGATTCTATTTCTCCTACACTTATTTGGCCAATAAGGCTTATTTTAAATATCTAGTTGATCCGCTTTGTTTCAGATTCTGTATAGATACTCACCTGTAAAAATCAAAAGCCTCCGTCTTGCGAGCCAGGTCCTCCAGTGAGATGTCAGTATTGGACCAGAAGGGGATATCCCTCATCAGCTTCACCAGCTCGTCCAGCTGTCCCTGCAGCTTTTGGACTATAGAAACATAATCTGTCTGCTCCTGGAAGGCTGTTTCTAACTCGACCAGGTTCTCCTCCACTGTCTGGTTTAAGGCTAGGGCGCTGTCTGTCACCTGACATTCACAGGAGAGCAAAAAGTTAACAAACAATAAAAATGCCGTTTGACATATTTTCTTATTTTTTTCTTTAAGGCAAGTAACCCACCAGTTTCTCCACCCCAGATACTGTGCGGTTGGCATGACGGAGGGAGTACGCCAAACGATTGGCTCCATCACTTGACTCCCCGTTTCCATAGAATCCCACAGCAATACCAGCACTGGGTGGAAGAAAACATGAAGGGCCAAATGTTAACACATTGATTCACCCAACAATCAAATTACATCAAGTTAATTGAACATGGATGAATTTCCATGTTCAACAGAAAGAGAAAATAAAACAACTGAAGAAACTCTGGAACAGCCTGCCAGAGGAGACCAGACTTGCAGAGTCAGTCCCTCATTTTATTTCTCTACTCAATGTATTCTTTTATAAAAAAGCTTTTAGTCTGTGACTTTATATATCTTTCATATTTAATTCTATGTGTCTGAATGCTTTTATTAGTTCTTTCTTTTTATTGCCTGCTGTGGAGCACTTTAACTGTATTGAAAAGTTATTGAAAAAAGTTAAGTTATTTACGCAGTTACACTGTTAACCAGCAACAGGCAGCACTGAGCACTTTGTTCTTTGCATTGGTGTCACCATGGGGCCTCAGGCAAGCACAGGACAACCAGGAGTGATTCACACACACAAACACACACACACACACACACACACACACATTCACACACAGGCAGAGGCTACACAATAATTGGGTCACCAGACTGCACATAATATGATCCTTATGCAGCTCTGCTTCCACATTCACACACAACTCATGCCATAATATCTCAGGTTCATGGCCCCTTCACCCTTTTGTCAAAACAACAACTAATACCAAACTCTTCCAAATCTAACACAGCCACTCATTTGACAAAATCTCATCTGCACCCCTTACTTGGTTGCATCCCTCCCTCCCCCCCATCTATGCTTTTATTTTCTTACTCACTCTGTAAAGCTATAGTATCCCCCTCCTCCCTCTCTTTGTACTGTGTGTGTGTGTGTGTGTGTGTGTGTGTGTGTGTGTGTGTGTGTGTGTGTGTGTGTGTGTGTGTGTGTGTGTGTGTGTGTGTTGTGTGTGTGTGTATGACTGCACTCTTTGTATTGATGATGGCTCCGCCTGCACAGTAGACGCAGCAGACGGGTTTGTAGAGGGAAATTTATGGCCATTGTTAGGGCAATTCATTCTAGCCCATTAGATCTTGAGTACCCCTGTGTTACAGTGGATTTACACACACACAGTTCATTGTGTGGATGTGTGTGAGTGTGTCAGAGAGCTCTAAAGTGGACTTTATGTGCACATTTGTCTTGAAATAATAAATACAAAGAGGAACGACTTTGATAAGAGGAGCAGAATAAAGATGAACACACACATGGAGGTTGCCCTTGGTAGATTCTGCTTTTATCTCTCCATTTTCCTGCCCATCCTTTCCTCTTAACATGTCCCTCCATCCTCCATGTCATCTCAGGGTTTCCAGTGAATCATCTCGCTCCTTTCCTGTTTACTCATCCTGTTACTCTCGCCCTCCACCCGTTACTTCTCCCATACCTTTCTCCCTCCAATTCCCTTCATCACTATAATTTTCTCCATTTGTTTATTCCTGCTGGTTTAACACTTGCTGATACAATCATTATTTTGGTACACGCACAAAAGGCTATAAGGAGAAAGTTTAGAAGTCTAAAAATACTCTGACACAGGAAAACAAATATGAAATTGTTACGCTTCGACTGCTGCTTCAATCCCTTTTCAGCGCTGGGCGGCAGTGGCCTAGAGGTTAATCCGTGCACCCTATGTGTGAAGCAGGCGGCCCGGGTTTGAATCTGACCTGTGGCTCCTTTTTCACAAGTCATTAACCACTCTCTCTTTCCCTACTTTCCTATTCAATTATCTATTGTATTATTCAATGACTATCCATTCACTCCAGTGCCATCTATCTAATCAGGAGATAGAGCTGGTAGTCCACTAATCAGAACAATAGATCCCTGGCTTATCCAGTCTACATGTTGAATTTTCCACTGGCAAGAAACTGTATCTCAAAGTGTGTAAGAATGTGAATGAGAAATATAATAATGTAAATCCACATCTTTACAATCAGTGTATGAATAAGGTGAATGGTAGTGCAAAGGTTTTGGTCTGCTGAAACTCTTATAGAGCACTTCAGAATCACCCGGTTAAACCTTTCTGTACTCGTGACATGTCCTACCTGCACCCCCAGGGATCGTGAGTGTGGCAATTAAGGATTAAAAAAAAAAAGAACTAAATGTTAGCAGTTAATTTGAGTTGATCACTACCTGCAGCAGAACAAGTCCTTTTTGCAACAGCATCCGATTGCCTCATGTGAACTCACATCAAATTTAATCAAATCAATGTGTCACAAAGAGTTTAAATACATTTGTTCAAATCAGTTATTCGGGTCTTGATTGATATATCCCCAATTATTTATATTAGGAAATTATTTTGAATTTTTATGTTTTGTTTTAATGTAAAATTGCACAGGTCTACTCTGAAAAGTATATGCATATGGTAAATGTCCTTTAACCTAAACAGACTAAACTCAATTAAAGGCTAAAGCTATAACAATGATTTGGTTGTTCTTGATAATTTACTTATGTATTAATGGAACATCAAACATTTTTGGTGAATTACATTTTGTATGGTCTATATTTGTATGGACTTCACAACCACATTCACAACCACAGCTTCTTCTATTCCTTACACTCTGCACCTGCACACAAATGGAGGATGTCCACATGTGGTCGGTGTTGTGCCAAAAATAAGAAATGACGTCATATCTGATTGTGAACAAAGAATCACACCAGCACGCCTGCACTCGCATTTACACAAACACAGGCACACAAACACACACACACACACATACACACCCTCAGATTCATATCAAATATTCAGTAAGAAATATTATAGCTAATCATAAAATATTAAAACCGTCAAAAACACTCTTCAGTTCTGAGTCACGCGCACACACACACAGCTCCCCCTGACTGTATAATTTATTTCTCGTCTCTGCATCAAATCTGCTTCTGTCTCCATGGCAACCTTTCTAGGCCAGGGAGAAGGACAGAGAGAAATGATAAATAACAGAGGGGAACTCACAAAGATGGAGAAAGGGGGAGAGGAGAAGAAAGCATGAAGAGATGGGAGGCAGAAACGTGTATTTTTTTGTATGTTAATGTGTTTGTGTTTGTGTTCCAAAGGGAGCAGAGTCCATGTTGCCTCGGTATCACTATCCTGCTGCTGGGTCATTTGGGTGAAAGAGCTCAGCTTGTACTGTAGCCCTCAGTCATGTTAACACAAACAGAAGCTGTCCTGCTTTAACCCAACTGAGTGAAGTGAATATAGATAGATTTAAATTGTGAAGTGAAAACCTTGAGTCGGCAAAATGATGACATTGCCGTGAGAAAAGCAATAGAGAAAAGCCTTGTAGTTGTGTCCCTGTTTACTGAACCAAAAATATACACAACAACACTTACTTTTTCAGATTGTCAGGAGGATCATTTATTCCTGAAATTTCTTCAAAGATTGCAGAATTAACTGGGCTTCAAATAAGGGATTTGCACTTTTTTTGGCACAATTTTGTTTTTCTTTTTAGTTTGAATTTTTGTCTGTTATAAATTACAATCAACCTATATCAGCTTATTGCTGATAATATGAAAGAGAGAAGGGCGACATGAAACAAAGGCAGTTAGGCTCAGAGTGAACACTAGAATAAGCAAAAGTAAGTATGATGACATCAGGGCTTTTTCCATCAGCCATTAAGGCATTTTTACCTCACTGTTGAAGTGTGACTCTGGAATTTGAAAGGCTAAGTTCAGATCCAACACAAAAAAAACGCACAAAAGTAATGGTATAGGTTGACAAGGAAGTCCTTCAAAATGACAGTTTTTGTCAGTGGTTTCAGGTTGCTTTGAGGAAGGTAGGTACTATCAGCAGCTATGTCCGATACAGACATCACTTGGCTTAGATGACTTTCTGGACCTGGTAAAGCTGCGAAAAACAATGACGCCAATAACAATACAGCTTAACGTTAAGTCGCAAATTGTTATGAATAATATCTGCAGGGATGTTCCCTCAGCTTCTCGCGCTGTCCATCTCTCTTTTTTCTTTAATAAGCTTCGTCCACCACTGTCCTCTTCTGTCTCTTACCCTCAGCCTTTATATCAAACAGTATAGAGACAGGCTAACTGACCGCAGCCTGCTGCCAAACTTACATAGAGCTATAAACAGGTGACAGGGCAATCTGTGGAAATGGGAGAGACGCTATTCTTAACTTGAGAGTACTATTTTAAGCTGGTAAAGTTCCATATTGTTACATAAATAAAGCGGTTGAACACCTTTATCGCACATTAATTTAGTGTATTGAGATGTTACTCTGGTGGGGATAACCTCTCACCTGCAGACGAGCGTGGCAATGATAACACACCAGGCGGTGCAGCAGCAGTCGGCACTGGGCTGCTGGGAGTGCGAATGGGAATGCGAAGAGTCTTCACTCTTGCGTCGCCGGCAGCAAAGCCAGAAAGAGTAAAAGAGGAGGAAGAGGAGGTCCAATCCCAGACACAGCACAGCCACAGCACCCAGCAGCAAAATGGACTGAGGACAAGAGGGATAGAGAAATACATAAACAAGTTAGTGGCAGCTAGACATGTATGCTTTCAATCTAATTTATGTTACACTTTCACTTTTGGCTTCATCATTCAGTAAACAAATATGAGAGAGGTGGCCTTATCCTAGGGAAGGGGACAATTTAGGAAGCAGGATAGATAAACAGGAAGTGAATTAGCTGATATGAGCAGAAACCAGATACACAGACAGACCACATGATGTGGTTTTCCTGCGTAGACAGAAACTTACTGATACACAAACTGTGTTCTTCTCTCCAGCTATTTGAGGCCAGAGAATAGTAGCTGTTATATTGGTGTCTGATGGATACCATGAAAAACACATTTGCACACCATCAAACACGCACACCTCCATGGAGTGAGCGGAAGCAATGTATTTGGGGAGCAGTGTGCGTTAGAGACCCACCACACAGATCACACACCCTCTTAAAGCTTTGAAGTGTAAAAGAAGGGAAGGAGGGGTGGAGGCAGACAAATGGAGGGAGGAGGTGAGGATACATTTGAACAAAAAAAGGGGCTGGAGAGACAAAAAAGGAAGAAAATGTAAAAGAAGATGAGTGGAGTGAACGCTGAAGTGGGGGAATGGAAGAGAAATGACAGAGATGAGGCGGGCTGTTTCAGCAAATGCCAAGAACAGATTAAATCTGTTTTAAGACGCACAGACACTGCAATGTTAGTTTTTCCTCCCCCCTGTGGAATTGTCTGGAAACGTCATTGTACTGCAGGACCCTGGAGAGGCAAAGGCATGTTTCTGGATCACCAATATCTCCACCTGCTAGACTACTTACAATAGACAAAGGAATACTACAGTTCTTCTGCACAGGCAGAAACAGCACCAGTGGGATTCTGGGGACTCCTCCGTGGATGATAACAAAATTTGGCTCCACCTCTAGGATCATCACAGACTTCTTGGCTTCCCAGGCCTTCAAAGAGCTAGTCTTTTGTGCTGACCTAAATTTTTCCTTGCTGCCAGCCAGCATTTTCCTCACCCTGCAGCAATCTGTGCACCTCCACTGTAAATATGCATGTGAATTCTAAGCGTGCATGTGGGCCAAAACTGACATCATATTTAAAAATGCATTACATTTGATGGTTTTTGGTTTCTTAAAATATATCAGAATGTGCAGTGGGTCCTATTTTAGACCCCTCAGTCTCAGCTGGGGAATCAATGTTCTTCTATTGTCTAAGGTCAAGGGGTACAACCCTGAATATATGAAGTGCAAGGATTTAAATTAACTTTGAATATTTATACTGCCCAGGTAGAAATGACACTCTTCAGTATGACAAAGCGACTTTTTCTCTGTGCTGGTAAAACTTAGGTTTAAACTTGCACAACAATCAGACCTAAATGACCACATTTCTGTGTTTCTTCCATTACCACAGTTTCACAGGAGGAAGCAGTTGGTAAATCAGTGCTGAGGGAGAGGAATTCAGTTGATTGCTTTTTCCCAGCTTTTCTCCAACAGGCTAAAGACGAAGAGCAGAAGCAAGAGGATCCTGAAGGGAGAGGAGGGGGAGATAAGCTCTGTAGATGGCCTGGCATTATTCTGTGTTATTATCTGTGGACTTACTGCTAGAGACGTCGTGCTATGGTTCAGGAGGACTGGGCCTTGCTAATGCATTGTTTGATCTTTTGTGCCCTAATTCTTTAAGCTTTGTTTTATGAAAGTGAAACCTCCCGCTATAAAAAGAAAGGTTTTCATGACACCCTCTCACCACATATGATGCTTTCATGCTATTAGAATGCAATTTGGATGACCCAGATTATACAGTGATATGCAGAGAGGTGAAATGATGAAGTGTATCCTTTTGATTATGAAGTAATCTTTTCCTTTAGATACCAAGCTTTTATTTATTATATTTAATATTCATCTCTGTACATGTATGTTTTTTATAACTGTTGGTTGAATACATTAAGCCAAATAACCTTTGACTTGTAGCATGAAGGCATTAAAAATATAACAATTATTTTTTATTCTAGCATTTTATGTTAAAAAAAACCCATAACCTGATAATAATAACCAATAGTTACGTTAACTGTTGAAGTCGTATAAACCAGTTGTAGTCCATTACTTTAACAATTATTATGTATTGTGAATAAATGCTTATCATAATTTAGTAGAACGTTATGCCAATGGCAGCTAGTCACTTTGCAATTTACATCCATCAGTGTTTCACATTGGATGAGAGTGTAGCTGTGGACTGGATGAGAGATATTTGTTTATATTAAATATCTGAAGGAATAAGTTAAGCTTAAATCTAAAAAGTGCTACTAGTAGGCCTGTATTGAAGAGAGGAGGCTGCACCACAATCACTCACAGGAGGAAAAAACACTCGCAAAGAACGAACAAAGGCAAAAAAAAAAGTTACATCGGAGGGTAAAGCTAGAGAGATTGACCACTATTTGGATGCAGATAGTCTTGTTAACTAGGACTGAAGTATTTAGGTCATTAGATCACATTGACCTTGACTTTTGACCAACTATAAATCAGTTCATCCTCCAGTTCAAGTGAAAAAGCCCAATTTGAAGCAATTCCTTCAGAGCGTTCCTGACATATCATGTTCACAAGAATGGGACTGACCAACAGATGGAATCAAAAACATATTATTATATTATATACATGTTAATATACATAAAGTACTGGGAAGACTTTTTATTTTGCTTTACCCTGCATCTTTTATAACTAAAACAAAGAAGAGGAGATTTGTTATTTTTACTGTACAAATGATTTTAACCATTGGTAGACACTAAAAACTATAGATATATACATATAAAACAAAAAGCAACTGATCCAGGACTGTCGATGGCCGCTAGATTAGCTGTTGGCTGTAGGCTGACAAACCATGAGTGCAGATTACGTGTGGATCAATTAGCTACTAATAAGCATGGTGAGCTTGGCTGTGGAGTTGTTTGTGTGTGTGTGTGTGTGTGTGTGTGTGTGTGTGTGTGTGTGTGTGTGTGTGTGTGTGTGTGTGTGTGTGTGTGTGTTCTTAGTAGTAAGTGAGTTTGTGTGTGCACATCTACACTACTGGAGATCAGCTTGCAGGCTTGGAGGAGGGGCTAAACGTTAAACACCCAGGCACAGTGATCTACTTTCAATCTGTCCATTTAAGTGTGTGTATGTGCGCGTCTGTGAATTCGTGTGCATGTGTTTGAGCTGACAGGATCAATCACTTCCACTTCAGCGGGTTGTCCTTGCACTCTCCCTGCCCGTGTGTTACTAGTCCGGCCTTGCCCACAATGATCTGAACTTATTTCCCGAGGTGCTGACTGACCTGAAGTTCATTCTACTGGTATTTATCTGTATCACAGGGTCAAAGAACAACCAAAACATAAATAACAAAAATGCCTTTTTAGACAAGGGATGGCATGTAGTCGTTTTGGACAACAGTAATTGCTCAACTGCTCAAAAAAAAAGTTAAACTAAACAGCTAGAAAAACTTTGATCATTCTCAATCAGGCATTACTTTATCCAACTTGACAGGCTTTTATTTTACAGAATTTATTTCACAAAGAACACATATGATAGTGCCAGTTGAGAATCACTAATCTAAATGTTGCCCCTTTTTTTTTAAATGGAAAGGGTAAATAACTACCTTTTCTTTGTGTGAATGTGTGCAGTTATAAAACTTCGGGCCACCCCTGCAGAAGTCCGTGGCCTGGATCAGCCACCCGAGTCAAAAAAGTCTGGCTACCCCACTGATGCTCACCAACGTTAAAATCAAGTTTATCACAACACTACTTACTACTTTAAAGAGAAACTGTTTATCAATTACAAGTACATACAGCTGAAACAAATAACTGGCAACTTCTCACTTATCCCTGCTGACTAAGCATAAACCCTTTTGACTGAAGATATTATTCTATGAAGCTTTATGAGAAGAAAAGTCAGGAAACAAGTTACCACCATGGTGAACAGCACAAGAGTGCATCTTATCCACAAGAGAAGTTCAGATGATTGCACACCACATTCCAAAAAGCCAATTTTAACAGAATTAACATGTTTACAGCCTGGTACAGAAAAAGGATACAGGTCTGATTATTTATTGTCCTCACTGGCACACACTGTACGGAGGGTGACTTTTTTATAATGCATCCGTTTGATTTTACAAACGATACGTGTTAGTTAGGCGCGTAGGTGACCTGATTGACAGGTGGGCCTGATGGAACAGTTTGTCAGGAGGCCTTAAACTCGCCTCAGCTCCAGCTTTTAGCCAGTCATGAGGTTGTCTGAAAGTTAGGCTGAGACAGAATTTCCAGCAAGGCGGCTGCCGCCGATAAACCTCCAGAGCCCCCTGCTGTAACAGATGGGTGATGTCACTCTGGCTTCGTCCAATATTTACATTGTATGGAATTCACACAGTACTCACAGCGAGTGATGAGGAGAGGTTGCAGTATGAGGAAGCACCACCGTTCACTGTAATTCATAACTGTCGTCAAGCATCGTTTTACATGTGTCGCCTACTCAAATAGAAACACTTTTGGAATTTGGCCCAGTTTGCAGCAACAGAACTGTAGCAGGCTGTTACTTAAGTGAAGCTTCTGATTGTTACACACATAGCCACCAGCTAAGACCTGCATGATGCAGACGGGGTGTGAGTGAACGGACAAAAGATGAATCAGTTGTAACAAAAGTTAATGTACACAATGAAATATCAATGCTTTACATCCCCTTACAGTTTTAGTGTCAAATTCCACTAAACAATACAAATATACTATATATTTTAAAATACTGAAATTCTTCTACAGCTGGTCTTCATGGCACTACTTAACTGCTGCCTTCTTTTCATTGTGACTATACACCATACAATCGGAATGTGCATTAATGGAAAAGTTGTTTTCTTTCAAAGCAAAATAAAGACATAGTTTTGGAAATAAAATAAAAAAGCTTTTTATTCTTAACCCCTTGCTGTTTCTGTACAATTTGCCTAAAACTCAAAAGAATGGAATAAATTAACACGGCAACAACCCAGGCCGTCAGAACTGAACCAAACTGAAAACCGTGACCAGAAAACCAAGGTTTTTATTTAACCAAGGGCTGACTGTATTGTTGCAACCCTAGTCATGGACAACGCCACAAACAGGGTTTTATCAAACCAGTAACTCCTTTTTGTGACTACTGGAGTACGCATTTAATCAGTTAGATCTCAACATCAAATGTGAAAATAACTCAAAATGCACATCCTTTGATCAGTAAGGCCCTTGATGAGATGTGGGCATACATTTTCACTTTTAAAAAAAAGGACGAAAAATAAGATTTCTTTAATTAATCCCTTGAGGGGTGATTCATTTACATTCTGTTGTTGAGACATGCTACACACACGTAGGCTCAAGTTCACACACACACATGCACACACACACACACAAACACACACACGCTCAAACAGCATCCTTTGGACATCTAGCTACTAATGCAAAGACGTCCAAGTGAGGGTTTGCACATGAAAGAAACTTTAAAGAAACTAAAACGTTTCAAAAGTAGCCTTTTTTTTCTTTTTGATCCTTTTCAAAATGCTTTGAGTTTATGTCTTCCATTGTGCAAACCATCCAAAATAGCAATTACAGACTTACTTTCCACAGCTCTGGATATATGTGTGTGTTATTATAGGTCACATGATTCCTCTGTAATGTTCTGCAGCTGTTTTAACTGTGGCTGGTCGCTGACTCTGCGATTCTGCCATAATACTAACACATGAATGCACACACACACACACACACACACAGACAGACACACGCACACATGCACGCAGAAGCTATTCCATTGCCTTCAGACCCTCAGGATAAGAGCCCCTGTTTCAGCTCACTAGGAAAAAAACAACACAGTTTTCTTGAACAAAGCCATCGAGTCAGCATCCCCAATAAAGTCAGAGTCATCAGAGACCAGCTGCTCTCATGAATGAATGCTGAACAGTTTTTCCTCATTTGGTTTGTTGAAGAGAAAAGCTTCTTGCAGTGAGTGTACAAGTGAGTGACAGTGTGTGAGCAGAAAGTTTTGAGCAACTTCAGAGCTCCAGAGTTGAATACAAATGAACCTGTGCAAAACCACATCAGAAAGAAAAACACTACACAGAAGAAATGTCTCTCTATTGTGTGGGAGCGTGTGAGAGTGTTTGTGTGTGTGTGTGTGTGTGTGTGTGTGTGTGTGTGTGTTGCAGTGACGGACTTAGTGCACTGAAGGACACTGTTTAGGACCTTGTTTGTGTGTGCATATGTGTGTGTGTTTCTCAGCTGGATGAGTGGATGCATGAAAGCCTTTGAGACAGATATACTGAGCCAATCTAAAGACGGGCTCCAGTGAAAGAGTGAAAGAAAGAAAGAGAGCATTCTTTCACAACAGACTACAGGACCCCCCCCCACACACACACACACACACACACACTACTTCGAACTCTCTCTCTCTCTCTCTCTCTCTCTCTCGACCCCTCCCCCTTCTCTCACTCCTCCCTAGTTCGTTCCTCCCTCCCTGCCTCAATCCAATTCAACCTTCTTCTTCTTCTTGTTCTTCTCACACCCCCCCACCCCCCCTCGTCTAGCCAGAATTAATGATTTCACCCTGAATAGAACCCCTATATTCACTCTCACACACAAACATCCCCTGAGGGAGATCTGTGACCTCACCTTAACAAACAACACTAAGTTCTAAATACGCACTGACACAGAAAGTGAATCTGCTGTATGTGGCATATATACATACAGCTTATAGCACAACTACTGCACAACCAGATAGTGTACAAACAAACATGTGATCATAGTGGTGAATGCTCAGTGACATAGAAACAGCCCCATCTGCTAAAACATGTCAGGATGTAATTAGTCCTAAATGGGGGTCCTTAAAATTCCAGTGGTCACACACATTGACACACACACATACAAAGGCCCTTAGTTAAACATTGAATAGCTCGCAGGAAGTGGCTATTTGGCAATTTAAAAGCACCTCCCATGGCTCATGGAGCCTTCTCTCTCTCCTCTCGCCTCCAATCAGTCCCTTTATATCTTTCTCACTCGTTGTCCTCCTCCTCCTCTCTCCCTGCTTCTCTCTCCGGTTCCCATCTCCCTCCCTTGTTCATGGCCGTGGGTGCCTTCCCACGCTCGGCTCTTGAACTCGCACGTCCTCCCTCCTCTCCCCATACATGTCGGCAGACTGCATTGACGGGTGAAAGCAGTGCATGAATGCGGGGTTCTAAACGATGTGTATTGGCTTCATGTGTGTCATGAGGCTGTGTTTTTTTTCTGGTGCAGAGACCTGAAAGTCACCTTGTTTGAGGATTCAAATGAAATGCAGCAAAACTCGGCCAAAGCCCGTCTTTTAGATGGAGCTAGCTCTGCCGACTCAGCCAGTTTTTCATCAGACAAAGACTGCAATTTCTTTTTTGCTTTTCACTTGTTTTTTTTCTTAATTAGTATTCTTTTCAAATAATAATTTATCCAATGACACCAAAGTCATGAGTCTTACCTTTAAATAGGCTAAGATGGAGTCCTCACAATGATCATTAACAATGATAATCAAGTGAAAAATATTCACAATCACTGACTAAATCCAGAGAATGACTAGTGTATTACTAATCAAATCTTTTGACTGGCATTTTCTGTTCACTGAAAGTGCATTTGTTCCCCAACTTAGAGATTGTGACCTTTTCCCCACATGACACATTTCACATGTCCAGAGGACATATGCAGCAGTACATCCCAAGATTGATCCCCCCCACCCAGACTGTGTTTGTTTGAATTAAACAGAGTTCTGTAAATCTCTCCGTATCCTGTCTTTAAAATCCAAAGCCAACTTCAAAATTATATTATGTAGTTAAAAAGTTGTCTTTTAACTGGATTGCACTTTTGCAGACCGTCCAAGAGAGCTGAGTTGATACTTTGAGATTATGTGGTCACAATGCAGACCACTGATTGGTTGAACAGGACAGTCACTGGAATGGCAGTGCAATGAAAAAACAACCTCAATAACCAATCTGACCATTTTTTTGAAATTGGTTGAGCAGTCTGCACAACCAACTTTGCAAGAAGTGAAATAGACATACTCAGCTCCGTTATACTGTTCATTGAGTTAATAACTTCATGTAAAGTTTCTGCCTTTGTTTGTGTCATGTTGGAGACACAATCATGGGTGAGACTTGGCATTTTCTCAGTGTTGCTCTTAGCTGACCTAAGGAACTGAATCAAGTGAGTAAGTTCTATGTGCTTCGGAAAATAAAACAGTGCAAGTAAAAGCACCAGTTCCAAATGACTAGTGTCAAGTAGAGACAATAACTTGCTGTGTGGGAAAACTGCTTTTTTCTTATCTTGCTAAAAATGATTTCCTTAAGATTTATACATCAACCATTAGGGATCTCGACTTCTAGATTGCTAACCACATAACTAATCCACAAATTGACTGACGGTTTATTTTAACACTGTTCACCTGTTCACGATGATGGAGCAGGCAAGGGGTCAGTTACTTGATTCAAGGACATCTCTCTCTCTGTCTAACACATACACTACACACACACACACATAGTATTGATCGATGCAGAGAGGGAACCCACAACTCTGTGGTCCACTTGGCCACTTTGCTGTGAAATGACAGTGTGGGCAGGTGGCAGGAGGTTGGATATAAGGTGTCTCTAAACGCTGAAGAGGATGAAGAATGAAAAGATGAAGAGTGGGATGTAAATTATTCCCCTGTACTTGTCTTACCTTCTGATACTCAGAGTCTTCTGGTCTGAAATCACTGCTCACGACCTGGAATTCAATGTTGAAATGAGGCAACCGATGGAGCAGATTCACCCACCAAGGCGGGGAGTAGTTCACTACGGCCGCCATCCCGATCCAGCGACCTGCCGGCTGTCACTTCACTCCTTAACCAGTTTCCTGACACAGACACTGTAGGGAAATATACAACCGTTGTTTGTTAACAGGGCAAAGAAACTACTTCCTGGACAACAACACAACAGTAAGTTTGGATTCTGGATTTCATGAAGACTGACACTGAGTATAACAGCACTTGTTGTCAGAATCACACGTGCAGCAAAGTATCTGTCACATGTCACAGGATAAAGTTTATATGAACATAACACAATATGGCTAGTTTTGGGTTTGAGAAACGTTTTATGTTGTTGAAAAAAGACCAACTCAAGTTTCACAATTTGAAATTTGAAAAATGGAATTAATGATAAATCAATCATTATTGTTGAGGTTTTCAACTTTGAGCACAGAACTGTGTTATAAAAGCAATATCACATCAAGGTCATGCTGTTGTACTGATTTCAGTCCGACTGTTGTGCATTTTTGCACATATTACAGCAACTGTCCTGTTAAAATATTAGAATTTGCTGAAAAATGATCACGTAAAATGATTTACCGTATTGTTTACTAAAGGTTGACTTACTACCCTGAGCCACATATCTGTTTTATAAATGCAATACCACGCTCAAAGTTGTGCTGCTGTTCTGAATATAAGCATGGATTTTCTGCTTTTTTGATTACAGCAACTGCAATGACTGGCAAGGTCAAAACATTTAGTATTGATGTCATTTCATTGTATGTTTTAAACCAGATGAGTTTCTGCAGTCATTGCTGTTGATACTGTTTGCAAACACAACTTGGACTGAAGGAATTACTGGTTTTCTGATAAATAAAAAAGAGGGTTTTCTGTGTTTAGTCAGAAACATGCCCTGAACAAACTACAATAATAACACATCAACATGCCAATGTGCCCTGCTTTGACATTTGTTAACAATTCACATAGGACATTGTTTTTAAAGATCGTGTAACCTACTAAACATTTTACTTACTGATTAGCCATTTTAATCCACTGGGTTTTGTTTTTTTTGCCTTTCAGCAGTATGACATCCCCAAAATTATGTTGAAACTACAGGTCTGCAACAAGGAATTTGCTTTCCATTACAATTCATCGCGAATTGTTGAATTATCTTGTTCTGTGTGGCGTTAATGTGCTCGCCACTGACTCCAATAATAATGAAATGCCATGTAAATAGCCCATTTAGTTAGCAAATTTGAAAAAAAAAATGAGATGAAGATACTGAATAAGAATGATGGTATGACAAAAGCATGGCTGACAGCGACCCCGCATCACCTCACTTAACGCCCATACCGCAAAACAGACTTCACGGGGATAAGCGTATTGTTGGGGAGTGAAATGGCCGTACGCACGACTATTTGTATTTTACTGCCTTTACTGTACCAACACATGTAGGTCAACCAAGTCGAGCGTATCGTCGGGAATTTAGGTCTGAAGGTCTTATTTATTCTCACAAATTGAGCACATAAACTGTACACATAACCAAGGTTACCATTAACCTGCTTTGTCAGTTAAAAACTACCGCAGTCTCACATAGTCGTCAAGGCAACAAGGAGGAGAAAAGGCGAGAACTCGCTTCAGGACTTCGTGTCTGTGGATATCAAAGCCTCCGTGTTAAGGTTGGTTATAGGAACAGTGTCGCAACCTACCTAGTGCGAAGCCGAATCGGATTCAGACCCTCGTCTAGTGTAGTCTTGGGAGTCCAGGCCGGCCGTATATTTTCACCTATTGTCTTTCGAGATCCGGTGGTGGATTTTAACCCCTCAGCCGTGCGCTGCTGCATCAACGTAACGAGCAGGCTGCAACGACCGACTCCCGACCGCATTGAAGATAACCGAATAGCGGTCACATCTCACCGAGTCTCCCCCGCTTGTTTTGGTTACCTTCTCCAAGTGAGCGACAATGCTAAGGCAGATTAGGCGTCACAGACTCAATGACCCCCAACCCAGTATATTTCTATCGCTTTTTTTTTTTTTTTTTTTGACGATGCCTTCGTTTTCTGTATTTTATACCATAACAGCTGGTGCTCCGAGGCGCTGTTCCCACGATGACCGTCGGTTCAGTGAACTCAGCGTCGCGGCTCTTCGGTTGGATGATATTGTTAGAGCGTGAAGCAAACACGGTGTTTAACAAGCCTTGGAGGACGGGGCTTTGCGGCAGCTCCAGCTCTGCAAGTGTGTGTGTGTGTGTGTGTGTCTCAGAGAAAGAGAGAGGGATTGTGTTGTTGAGGAAGAGAGCGCATTCTGCATAGAGGACGCCCCCCTAGTGTTACAATGATGGAAGTGCATGTTGCAGTAGGCGGCAGCTTTACTGTCTTTTAAAAGCGATGATTGAACGAGCATTTCGACCTTTAGTTCGAACCAATATATCATTTTAACATGGTTAAATTCCTGCAGTTCAAGTCCTACATAAAGAGTGGTTATATAGAATAGATCACTCTAAATAGACTCTGGAAAGTTTACCTTTGATTACACTCTATACTTCAACCCTTTTTAAAACATGTCATTATTTGGTTATTGATGTATAATAATAATAACAATACACTTTATTAATATAACAACTTTTTTTGTTACAAAGTGCTTCACAAATAATACATAAAATGAAAAGGTAAGTAGATTTGGTTCAGAAGGCAGCAACTTTTTTCCTAAATAACCACAGATATATTTATGACGTATAACAATTATTAAATATAAATCCATGGAAAAAGCCAAGCATAGCATATTATCGACAGAAGCTACTCACAACTTCAAAATCGGAATCATTACTTATAAAATAATTAGCAGTTAGTTGCACCTGGTAAAAACAGAGTTATTTGGGAAAATTGGTGTAACTTTGACAAAGCATTTGATTTCAAAAGCTTATGGTAATGTTTTGTATGTAGAAGTTTCATCTCGTAGTGCCCAAGGAAATCAGTCGGGTAAATGTTATTGGATTATTTCCAGCATTACATGCAGAAAAAACTATGACAGGAGAAGGTTTTTTTATTATCAAAAAGCATTTTATTATTGAATCCTCATGTATCAAGTAACACACATCATGTGGGAAACCTGCTCTCAGCCGTTCACTTTGTTTCCATGTGCCTGTTTACACAACATTGTCATTAGACATACTGTGTATCCTCCACTGAACTGACTGTGTGTTCTGTATTGCTGCAGACTGATCTATAATTTATTCACAGTTTGGCTCAAAAGTGCATCAGTTGAGAATCAGCCCTTGATCATACCTTAGAATCAGATATAGTTTACTAAGCATATATGATGGATTAGTGATATGTATGCTATGTATTACAAATCAACCATATCAAAATATCATTCATTAATTATTCCAAAGACTTAAATTTAGAGCAATTTGCAGTGACTGTTCATTTAGCAGAGTCAGATCAAGAGAAATATTACGGTTGTCTAAATATCCATGCAGAAGGCACTTTTTGTAAACAATAGAATGACGGGATTCACACGACTCATTGAAAAGGGTTATTTGGCTCAAATTATAATTCACAAAAATTAAGGCTTTAAATTAAAGGTAATTTCAAAATTATGAGCATGTGAGGAAATATCGAAGGCAAATCCGAGTAGTCTCTTAAATCAGATTTTTAAGACACTATCCACACTGCAAGTCATGAGATTGGAATTGTGTAATCAAAGTGAGGCGTTTAAGTGCCTCTTTACTTCAACTCTTGTCTGAAATGTGTTTAAAGACCCTGCAACCACCTTCCGTGAAAAAAATGGCCTGACAAGTGCAAAAAGACAAACAGCGAATATTGTGTGTGTTTAATGTTATCCTGACTACAATGGAAACATCCTAGCTGTCGTATGCAGGTTCAGTAAGAACCCAATTTATTATGAATCAGAACAAACTGACTCTCACACACACACAAACACACAACCTAGAAAGTCTATAAGTGCAGGACTTCTCTGCTCCTCATAGGCCGAGACGGAGACACGATGATGTCATCAGAGTCGTCAGAATCACCTGCAGCAGCTCCACCAGACTCAGTTGTGCTATGAAGTTCTGTTTGGACTGAAGGAGATAAACAAGTACACACAGGTACACAGGTTGAGCTTCATCATCTTCACATCATTATAAGCTACAGTTGGCAACCTTTTGTGTTACAACTTTGTTTAAAATAACTAGTTTTGGTAATTGCACATCACTGATAAACTAAAGCAAAACATTCTTTTAAATAAATGTGTGTCTGATCTGTATCTGCAAACCCCTGCCCCTTTGTACTTTTTTAAGAATATAGTCCGAATACAAAACAACCATTGTTAATTTGCACATCAAGTGAGTGACTTGTGTTGCCAGCCTTCTCTCTGTCCTCACTAGCTCTCTGTCCTCGCCTAACAACAGCTTCAGGCACACAGAGTTTCTACTTCAACTTCTTTTTTTCAGATGTATGTTGATTGACTGTTGGTGTTTCTCTGCATTGAGAGCAGACCGTTACAGTGACAGCAGTTTGCTTGTATGTGTGGTGGGCGGGGCTTAGCTTAGCTTTTCCATTGTAATGTTCCTTATGGCCACTTTTATATTTATCTTAGATTCAACCTTAATTTAACCAGGTTTGTCCCATTGACATCGAACATCTTCTTTACAATGAATACCTGGCTACAAGTAGCAGCAACACACAGTTTCAACAGTAGTCAAGCATACACACACAGTAGATTTATAAACCATTAAAACTGATCATTTATAATCAAACAGATTGGACTCAGAAGATTTAACTTTCACGAATAACGATTTTGGAAGATTTGTTTTTTTTATCCCATATTATTTTTTCCTTCCACTAACAAACATCTTAGGATATGGATGAAATCGACCAGAGAGCTTGTGTTCTTTCAAAAGACAAATGACATGAAAAACTATTTGTCTACTCTTTCTCTTACCTGTTGTGGGTGTCTTCTTCGAGGAGTCAATCCAGGAGTCTTCTGCCTCACCCTGTTTTTCCTCACCTTTATTGAGCAATTCAACAACACACACACAACAAAAAAAAATGTAGTCATTATTACTCAACAATTGAGACACATCCTCAAAATGATATGTCTTGATGATGATCCAACCTTTGCCAGATCATATTTCAAGCAATTGCACTGTGCAATGGAAAGGATTGAATATTTTAACCAAAATTGCAGCAAAACTTTATATTGTCTTGTAAAAAACCTTTGAAAAAAGATCAGAAATATCAGCTCAAAATTCGCCAGCCTGAAAAGACTTTGTGAAGCCCAGTACTTGAATGCAGAGCCAGTCTTGTCAGCATTCTTTTCGAAAATAATGCTGACATTGCTGATCCTCTCCATGCACCCATCTGCTGTCAGCTTGTTAGAAAGGCAGGAAGACAGAGGAGAATGTTATGGGGAAGGAGTCGGCGTCTAACGGGGTCATTTAGTCGAGGCAGACGTTCAGGATTAGAGCTCCTGAAAAGCAGAAACTTCAGATCTATTAGGGTCATGTGAGGTGGTGAGTGGCATTATTGTTCCACAGAGAGGCTGAGTGTCCTCATCAATCTCTGATACAACTTTGTCACAGCTCTGTCTGCTGCAGAGCACAAGGGCATCCAAGAATTTGATCAGTGTGCCTGCAAAATCCATCACCACTCATAAAGGCGTCAGGGGGGACACGATGAGTGATTTGGTCGTTGAAAGCAGGGCGATGCCAACGTGTTGTATAGCCAACAGACATCAAGCCTGAACCTCAAGGCTTTATAAGATCTGAAGTTTAAAGAAGTCCCACTGTCACAAGCTCTGTGTATCTGACAATTAATCAGGTTGTAGTTTAGCCCCATATTTGAATATTTAATAGAAGACTTGCTGAAGAATGTGTAAACTGTATTATCAAAAAAAAAAACAGAGGTCGATACTATCTGGATTTCAGTGAATAATTTCCAGTGATAAACATGTAGGCCTTACTTGAGGAAGCATCAGAGTCGACGCTATGACGACAGTTTTTGACTTCGTATCAACGCTTTGTCTAATAGGATATATTCACAGTAAAACCTAAGAGCGGAGAAGAACATATTGGATAGCAGGAAAAACGGAACAATTTTTGTTACATGCACGAAGATTACACTTCTTACAAACGAGTCGTAGGATATAAACACAATCAACTGAATGCATTTTCCTAAATATTACCCGCTGCTTTCACTTCCTTCTTGTTGAAAATTTTATTTGGGGGCTGGAAGGAAAAATTAGCGATAAAGTAGCTGTAAAAACAGTTGTCCGATTTTGAGGAGTTTTGTGCCTGTGTGAAAAGGGCCTTAGAGACGGATTCTCCACTGAGACATTGAGACTGACAGCATTTAAAAGAAGTGGATAAACATGAGGTCCATGTTTGCTTTGATCTGTTCTGTTTGTTCTCAGTAAAAACGCAACTAAATACACAAAAAAAAAACTATGTTAACCTCACCTGTTCTACTTGGTTTGTGTGCTGATCGAGCTCTTCTTGGTACCAGTATGGGCAAATCTCTGCTCGGCAGAGAAGGCACAGAGAACTCGGAGCTAAGGAACACACGCAAACACACACAGACAATTAGACAAGACATGGTGCATGAAGAACAAGATTGAACATTTTTCTGTGGAAACATGTCTGTGTCATCACCTCTCTTTTGCAAATTCACAGCGTGCTAGGTGTCCCCTGAATGCAGACTGTATCTTTGTTAAGGCAACTGCATCCAGCCCTCCTTCTGTGGAGGATGCGATGCTGTTTATTGCTTCTTCAGCCTAAGATGAGGCAATGAGCGAGAGAGATAAAAGGGTAAAAGGGTAAAAATATACATGAGACGTTCAGAGACAGAAAAGCAAATGTGTGTTTTTACAGTCTGTTACTCTTCAGTGTCTTATTGTAGACATTAGGCAATGAGGCTTGGATCTCATTTGTTTGGAAGTACACAGAAAGTGCTTGATGTCCTCACAGGTTCATATTTGTTCAAAATCTATCTTTAATTTGGTCATCCTGCTCTTTCATACAACATTTTTAAAAATAACTTGTAACCCCATTTAAGAATTTTTGGTTGTTATTTTTCCATTCAAATCAAATGTCTCGATGGACCTGACCGTTTTCATCTTTTACTTCAAGAGTAAACTAAAAAGAATAAACCAAGTAAACAGCCCAAAACAAATTCTTATATTGACCAAACATGTGAAAAAAAAACACCTGTGATATTGATGCACAATGATTAGTACAGCTGAACAGGATGATTCAGTAACAGGATTCTTGCTGATTTTAAATTAAACATCAAAGAGTGACTAAGTCAGTATGGAAGTGTTTGTGTGTGGGTGAAACCTTTTTCTTTCTGTCGTTTTGCAGGTCCTTGAGCTGTGACTCTCTGTAGAGGTGGCCTCTTAACGCTGACTGCAACATCACAATGTCCTTAAGATAGAAGCAGAGGGATGCGGATATATAAGGAGACATCTGGGTTTATGTAAACTTTTCTCTCACACATCAATAACTTCTTTACATAATCATGCTGTTACACACCCTTCTCCTGTGCTTCCTCCAGCTAGTCTGGATTACCAATGCTGCTTTCTCTCTCGCTCTCTTGTCCTCATCTGTTCTTGATGCTTCCTCTTCTCGCTTCTTCGTCTCGTCTTTACCTCCAGTGTCCCTCTCTTCTTCAGAAACCAGACCTGAAGCAGCAGGAGTGTCCTCGTTGTCCTTTTTGTCCTCTGGTGATGTGGCAGAAAGAGCCAAGAGCTCAGCCTGTGCAGCTTTACTTCTGTCCTCCAGAGTTTGGATCCTCGCCCACAACTGATCCAGCTCCTCTCTGTAAACCCAAACACAAATGTTAAAACATGAATACAGAACAAAAACAAAAGGGGAGTATCTTTTAACAAGCTGTGGCTTTCTAAATCTGGGGAAATTATTCAAGAAAAATTAAGTTGTTACTTTTGGGGAGGCTCGACGCAAGTGGGATCTGATTTGGGTTTAGGCTATTGCAATACACTTCATTATCACAATAGTAATAAGGCAGCATGCTTACATATTATTCACTGTATGTTTATTTCAGGAGGAATATCAGTTTCTTTGCATATATTCGGTAGAGTAGTTGGCTAGTTTGTTTCAGTCTAAAAATTGAAAACATGTCATTTTATTAGCTAGACATTAGTGTGACGTGTAGGCAAAACTACGTTTGTATACAACTCCTCTTCATGGCTTCAGTAATTCTGATTCGGCCATCACCCACACTGCCACTTCTCTAACAGGTCTTTTTTCTTTCATCCCTGCCTGTTATACATAAATATCTCCCGTTGAATATTAATAATGTCAATGATGATGCCAACAGTGTTTACTGGGATATTTCTTTAAATATATAACTACAAAGAACCGTTATAGCTGTTTCACACATGCACTCCTGAAAATGTCATGACAGCCAGCCCCTGAAACCATCCTGAGTTGCTTATTCACAAATATCTGAAGTGTGTTTTCCCTGTCAGACTGGGGGGTGGAGTGGGGGGGTCTCAGGAGGATAGATGACATGATGTAAAATAGATGCAGATTTTGGGAACTTTCAGGAGTTATGTGCATGTGTGAAAACAGCTAAAGACAGAGGCATCAACTGGGCACACGTAGATTTCCTTTACATATTTTCAGATATAAATCAGTTGATGACAGAATGTGTCTTTATGATTCAAAAACAATAACTTATATATAGTTCTATATTAAACTCACAACCAGTAGATATTTTGGTGTTACACGCATATTTTGGTGTGTGGAAAAGTCAAATCAAGGATGCGTCACAACTTAAACATACTTGTGCTGCTCGCTCTCTTTGTCCCGTTCTTTTGTCTGCTCAGCTTTCCATAGCTCGGTCTCTTTCTTCAGTTCTTCTCTTCCTGCCCTCAGTTGTTTTAACTCATCACTGAAAACAAACACACAACACAGATGCAGGCCTAAGAACAGAAATCACCCCCAAATTCAATGGCTTTGTGTCTACATCTCCTGTCCCACAGATCACAGATGTGCAGCTCCACTTGTAGTCCAGTAAACCATCTTTCTTTTTTCTATTTAGTGTATATCATGAATTTAAATAATATACATAAGCATGGCATGAAAAAAAAAAAAGATAAATACGTATGTCATGTATAATACTGACTCACTCACTCATTACTTGACAGCTTCTCTTGAAGCTCCGCCTTCTCCTTCTCTAACTGGCTGACGGCCCCTCTCAGATCAGAAACCTCCTCCCATTCCTCAGTTATCATTCCCACGGAGACCACTGCCTCTGTTGCCATGGTAAACCCCAGAATCTCCGTGGGCGAGGCCTGCACCTCCTGATCCAATTGGCTAATGCTCTTCGGCGAATGGGCATGTCTTCTGCTGTCCTCCAGCCTCTGATTGGAGGAGAGAGGAAGTCAGTCTGTGATGAAGCTGCTGTCTGTGTTTAAAGATGACCCGACACACATGACCACACACGTTTAACAACAGTTACAGTTTCCAGCTCACCTTCTCCACTTCCAACAGCCGTCTCAACAGCCTCTGTTTACTCCACTCTCTGTAACCTAAGACACACACAGACACACACAGTTCTCATCAACATGACAGCACAGATTAGACACCACAATGAGTGTTTTTAATGCAGAGAAAATGCTAAATCACATGTGAGTTAGCTACCTTTGAATCGTTTTTTAAAGCTGTGTTTTTTCATTTTGTTTTTTACATTACTGAAGTTGCGCTGCTCATGAAATACACCTCATCCACTACCACTTGACATATTTCAGTATTTGTTAATGCAGCAAAAAAAAGATATGAGAAATAAAACCCTTAAATATTCAATAGTTTCTCCTAAATTCTTAAGATAGGATAATATGCTGTTGTATAAAGACATACACTTGTCAAGAAAGAAGAGGTATATACTATTTCTGTGGGTTGAGTGTAGGTGTATCTACTGGAAGATATTGTGTGCAAAATTCACAAGAACTCTTTAATGTATGTATACTTATCCCCAGTAAAAAAGCAAAGTCGTGCTTTTGTAGCATTAGCACATAGCAGATGAAGGAAACCAACAAAGCTGTAGCGGTTTAAGCAAAAGGCAACAAATACATTTCTTTGAATTTGTTGTGGTTTAGAGCAGTAGGAGAACAGTGTGATTGTGGTCATGTTGTGTGATTAAAGACCTTTGACGCCACCTGCAGGACTGTCCGTGTTGAGCTCCTCTCTCAGTGCCATGTTCTCCTGCTGCAGCTGCTTCAGGTCCTCAGACAGACGGTGAACCATGGAGCTTAAAGATTTCTGCTGCCTCTGTGAGCATTTACTCTCTACTCGGTTACTGTGGGCACAAAGACAGAACTTCAGGATTTTGTGAGGAAGAAGGAGAAATGAATGCACAGATGAGAATATTTATTTAAACATTTACCCCAAAACCTGAAATACTAAACTTACTATCCTCTAACGAATCATTTTATAACCTTGTGAAAAGTTAGGGAACTAATCGTGTGAACCAGCTTAGTGAATCATATTCTAAGGTTTATTCAGGTTCAGCAGTTACTCACCTTTTCTCTGCAGCTTCTAGAAGAATCCTCAGCCTTTTGATCTGAAAGACGAGACACACAACACATACACTTTACAAGTTGGATGAGAATTCCCTTTCTTACTGCTAAGATCACACTCTGTTTCCAAAGTTAGCGTGACAGTAACAGAGTTTATAACAGTAAGGAAACACAGTCAGAGATGTTAAGGAAAAAGTCCAAACATCCCTCCAAACTCTTGGAAGATTTTTTTTTTCTCATTCCAATTGGTTTTTGTTTCAGTTTTTTCACTCTGGGAAGTCTGTGTGCCCCAACAAAAACATTTCTGACTTTTGTTTCCAGAGGTGAAGATACTACCTCTTCAGAGTATGTTTCTACTGAGATCTTTAGCTCCTCCAGGTTGGTGGTCCTCAGCTCACTTTGCAGCTTACTGTAAAAAAAAAAAAAAAAAAAAGAGGCAAACAGCATGGACATAATGCTAATTAACACATAAAACAATAGGGGGTTTATACAAATATGTGAACTATCTTTTACCTCAGGGTATTTTCTTTCTCTCGACACTGCTGTTCCAGCCTCAGGATTCTCTGTTTTAGCCCATTCACAACCTTCATAGACAGAAAATAAAAAGTGACTTCAATCCTGCTGAAGGTTCAATCCGGAAAAAAAATAATACTTTAATCGAGCTTTATGCAACAACATTCTGGCCATACTCACCATACCGCTATCTTTTTTCTTATCCACAAAACTAAGAGAATACTGAGATCCCTAGAAAAAAGAAAGGGCATATTCTTAAAATGTGTTGAAAGTTTCGATAACATAAAAAATATGCAATGTGGTGATCATACTTTAGGAGGATCCAAAAGCTCTTCTATCTGTTTCTCTCTTTTTGCGTTATCTTCCTCTAAGCGGCGTAGTTTGGCTTTCATTTGCTGGTTGTCAAACTTCTGTGCATGCAGATTCTGCAGAAGGAAGCAGTGGCAAGTATTGACGCATCAAAGAAGTATAAAAGGAACACTTCTACTTATTTAGAATGCACAAGTAAATCCTGAGGTGATCATCTTTTATGAAATGCAACGCTTTGTCTGAAACATACAGTAGGTCTAAAAATCGTCTTTTTCATTGAACAGAAGAATAAAAGTCAGAAATTAAAAATGGTATACATTTGGTACTTTTCTCAAGGCCTTTGCAGCAGAGATGCACATGTCATTTTGATTTTTTTTTCTCAATAAACTGCATTCATGATGTAACTCATCTACCTTTTTGAGGTGAATAATCTCATCATACATGTCCTCCTTATCTCTGTAGTCACATGCATGCATGGAGAAGCCTGAAACATAGAAGGACACATGTGAAGATGGTACATTATCAAAAAAAGTCATCTACATACTCATCTTAAAGGGAGAAATTGTCAGATGGGATTGCTATCATACCCTAGTTATCCTCCAGGATGTTTTGTGATAGTGTCTCCCAATAAAGAAGCACTCTCTCTGCTCAGTTCAGCAGTTTTTTCTGTCTCTGCTCTACCACACTTAACTCAGTAAACCTACACACACATTTTCTTACCACTGGATCCAGAGTTCAGATGTTTGTGTTTCTTGGTGCTAAGAAGCTCAGGTGTGACTTCACACTCTGATCTCAGTTTCTGTGATGCATCTGAACGAAGACACAGACAGAGAGAGAGAGAGGTGATAATACAAGATAGTTAGAAAACAAAGTCAACACTTCATCTGACGCTTTCATTAAAAACTTTTAGGGATAACTTCCTCGATGTATTTTTTTCGAAAGTATCTAATAACAGAATGCATAATGCTGTTAAGTACAGAGGTAATGCATTTATGAGTTTTCTCAACTGCTCCATTGGTTGTTTGGTCTATTAAGTCACAAGACTATGAGACATGTCATTCAGTGTTTCCTGTGGGGCGCCAGTGCACTAGTGGTTAGTGCGTGCGCCCCATGTGAAGAGGCTGCAGTCCTCTAGGACATGAAGTCTGCATGTCATTCTCTACTCTCTATCTCTTCAATAAAGCCATAAAAAGCCAAAAAATAAACCTTTTTTAAAAAATGTTGTATTACCTAAAAACAAAGATGACTCCCTCAAATGTCTGGTTTTGTATTATACTTAAAAATATTCAGTGAACTGTCACTAAGGAGTGAAGAAAAGAAAATATTTCCATTTAGGAGGTTGTAATCACATTGTGTTGATTTCCTCGCTGTTATCGAAATGGTCAGCTTTTCATGTAAAAATTGACCACAAATCAAATAAGCAATGACTCTTCCTTCTTCATGACTTGTCAGAAACAGCAGGCAGCAGTTTTTTCATAAACTCTGTGGTGTTTGAATCAAAGAGGTGGGCTAAATAAACAGAAACCTCCCTCCCCCTCAGTATAAAGAAGTTAAACTGTATCACAAGCTCAATCCCCCTCTAAGTAATCATTAAACTAAATCAACATCTCAACAAAACTGGAACATTATCACGTTCCTAAAGGGAGAAATAGTAACAGGAATTCTTTGTTAGACTGAATACGTTTTAGCTACGTATACCAAACAAGAACCTGAGTGTTTTGCAAACATGATAGATATAACAATATTGTCTGCTGACTGTTTTTATGCCTCCAAAAATCTATTCACCTAAATGTTTTGAACCAATTTTCTCCAAAAAATGTTAAGTTAAATGGAATATTGTTCTAACAATTTCAGAGAAGCTTCTCTTTCTAAAGACGTCAGCATTGATCAGAACACCTACCAAATCAGTAAACTAGTTATATCAGAAGACAAATCTGAGTCTGTGATTTATCTCTCTCTCTCTCTTTCCACCTGACCCTCTGCAGCCACTCCCCCCTCCCGAGCAAAGACTATGACTATGGAGCTTCAGCTGTGTTTGCACGTTTCCTGCTTACCATGGCCGTTGCTGAGGGACACGAGGCGAGCCGAGACGCCCTCCCCTGCAGTGTCCCCTGTGGCGTCCCCAAGGGAAGCCCGCGGCAGCTTCCAGGCCGCCACCGCCGCTTTTCTGGCGTTCACATTCAGACTCGAGAGGTATGGAGACCCTACAAATGTACATACTGTTTATAAACAATCACTGCACATGGACAGTGTCTGAAAAGGCTTAGAAGGTCTTACTTGGAGACGGCGGAGGCTTGCCAGTGGTTATCTTCCTCCTTGTTTTCTGATTGTAAACAAAGACAAGGGAGGTATTTTATCAAACTAACCCAGTGAGGCAAAACATATCTGTAAAGAAAAAAATGAAGTATAAAAAAGATCAACTTCATCAATGAATTTCTTTACCTTTTCAAATATATCAGCAGAGAACGAGAAGCTGTCATCAACCTGTGGACAAAGGAGCGTGTGTCAGTCAGAGAGAGATTGTGTGTAATGTTGGGAGGAAGAGAGAGAGGACATTCAACTGTAATATTTCAAGAAAATGCAAGTTTGTGACAAAGGTTTACACTGTATTAAATAACGTGAGATAATTTACCCTCATAAACCACTGGCTTCTCACCACAGTCATCGATCACTAATTACATCCAATTGGCTTTAAAGGGATATTTGCTCAAAGGGATAAAACTAATAACTGTTACACAAAATCTTTTTACATGTTTTTTCGTCTTGACTGGTTTTTGTGAGTCGGAATCTGAGACATTATTGTCTACTTATTGCTTTTATCTGTGTATGCATCGAACCCAGAGAAGTGGAGAATCCGACACAATACAGTATAAGAAAGGTAGAATATAATATGAGCCTAACTTATGCACATTTTTTTTTAGAGTGCAGTTTTTTTAATCCATGTGGAAAACATCCAGAGAGGTTACCTATACCTATATACTCTACTACACCTCAAATGTATTCAAATGGGTAAACTAAAAATCAAACAAAAAGGACTTGTTTTGAACACATATTTAGTCTCAGAACTTTCAAGTAGACTTGTTTAATTTAAGTTTAAAACAGTTTTGAGTGTTCAGGACAACTAAACTATTGTTAGCTGCTGTTTAGGTTTAAATGCTCTATATAGCAACACATAGTGAAACATAAGAGTGCTAAATTAGAAAAGAAAGTCTAAACAAATCAAATATAAAGACTTAAAGACAGAAGTAGTCTTGACCTTACTGAAGCTAAAGACTCACCAGCACCTCACAGTCTTCATCTGTTTGTAACTCACTCGCCTCCTGAGATATCTTGGTGTTTGCACTGAACATAGCTGGTCAGCTAATGTAACATTAAGTTACAACGATTGACTTTGGCCGTGTCTGATCTCAACATGTTCTCCTAGTTAGAAGGCGAACTTCAGGTAAACCCTATTGCTAGTAACGTAGAAGTAAAACATGGGAAAACAAAAACGACGTCCTCCAATTTCCGTCCCCGGCAGAGCGTAATGTCCACAACATAAACCCTTCATGCGTTTAACAACAATGCTGAACAAAGCCTCCTGGAATCCGTTGAACTGTTGTTGTGTTTTGAAGCAGAGGTACTGTTTTCACATCAGTGTTGCAGCTTGAGTCGTCTAGCAACCAGGCAGCTGTTAATGAGCTGTTAATCACGCAGGAAAAAGTCAGGAAACCACCGGAAACTGTCATGATGCCTTCAACATAAAAACATAAACCGGATAAAGGATAGGTAGAGTAAAGTGAGGTGTATAAAACTTTTAGTAGTAGTTTTATCAGCAATAAAATTTGCCTTCGCGTGAAAATTAAAACATTCAAATATTAGTATTTCTTCAATTATCACACAGCGCGGTTTTTTTGTAAATCATTGACTTATTTTGAAATGTGAAGCCGGATGTAGATTTACTTTTTAGCACAGTTTAGCTCGACAAAGCTAATATCCAAGCCAAAAGGTTGAGTGTCAATAGTTTTCTATCAATTGGTTGAGAGCAGCTTAAAGGAGGGTTTTGCTCCAGTAGCATTAGAGTAGGAGACGAGGAAAGGGAACGTAAAGGAGACTTGGAATATTCCATGTTCAGCTCGAATATCGCAAATGTTGGGATCATGTTGCACATATTAAATATGAGAAGAATATAATTGTAAATGTACATTTACATATAAAAACAGCATAATAAATGGCTAACAAATGTTCACCAAGGACGAGGATATTAACAAGTAGAAGAACCATATATATATATATATATATATATATATATATATATATAATTTTTTTTGAGTCTATAAATCATCTCGCCTATATCATGTAAAAAAAATAAACCTTAGAAGTAAATGTAATATGAACTTTCTCCTTCTCTAATGTCAAGTGCTCTTCTCTTCTTTCGCTTTGTTCGTCACTCTCTTCTTCTTCCAGTCTCTGTAGGGAAGACCTTGTGTTTTGGTATCATATTCTCCTCCACACTGACACTGTTTATACAGGTGGTGGACCCTCAGAGCTGCACAGCCAGGAATACTTTCCTTCAGGGCAAACAGACCCAATGCAGATCTCACATACAAAAACATACAGTTGTCCATTTTCTAATAAGAAGTGAAACAGTTTCAACATTTTCTGTGAGACTATGTAAGTCAACACCACTTTCTCTGTAGGCTTTGAAAAGAAGGATTTCATCACATATTTGTCATGCAAAAGTACAATGTATGAGTTCATAGGCCTTTTTAGACCTGGTTGTGTTGTATGTGTGATAAATAAAATCATCTTAGACAACAGTAGTGTTTCTACGGTTGTCAAATATTTGTGGACAATGTTCTTTCATAAGAAATGGATTGATTGTATTCAGAGGAAGCTAAGCAATGTATTTCTCTGGGTGATCTTGAAACACTCATGGCCATCTTCAGTCAGGGACAGTGTCTTTCTCAGGAGCGAAAGGTGATATGTGAGAAAGACTTCCTATCTGAGGCTGCACACACAATAAAATAACATTTCAAGTTTACATTCAAGGTTGATAACAACAATAAAATGTGTGTTCATACCGTATTACATGCAGATCCATGTCCTTTCTGTTTTAACCAGAATGCCCAGAAGGGGGCAATGTGAGCTGAGTGATATCAAACATCAGTCAGTCGAGGCTCAGGCCATACATTCTCGAAACTCTCCCACCTCACCTTTTCCTTCAGGGTCCTGGCCCCTGCCATCGTCTGCGTGATCTGATTCTAAAATCTCAGTCATTCTTCTGTACTTTTTATGCTCTCTTGATCCGACTTGTCTCCTTTCCTTTAATTTCACTGGCAATTTATAGGTTACAAAATGTTTTGTATGATTTCATGTAGCTCTTCTTAAGACTGATACACACACTGACTAATGATGACCAATACAAAAATACATCTTAAAGTTTCAATCAACTTTATTCAATCAACATATTTCAAAACGGCAGGAAAAAAATATCTTTCATAAATTGTAGAAAAATAAACTAGACACCTTGTTATTTCAATAGAGTAAACGAAAGACTACATTTAACTATATGATTTGATGCAAACCAAAAGTTAAGAAATAGGATGCACAAAAATCAATGACTTCTGTACACAGCTCTTCAGCCGTGTCTGCTCTAAAATGAACATATAGACGCTTTTCTTTTTCCCCTCCTACTTGATGAGGTGTGAACATTGCAGGAGAAGGACTGCAGATGACTATTATTTTCATTATGAGGTAACCAAATGTATGAGTCATTATCTATATCATGCTAAGACTTTAGAAAAAAATGACTTTACCAACGATAGCTACACTTACTTGAAAGAAAATCAAACATCAGGAAACCCTTACCAGGAATGGTTTCTTTTACTTAATTTTTGGCTTCAAATTTGTATTTTCACTCACAACAATCACTCTGCACTCCCCACATAGCCGATGGGCATTGCATGACTGGTATTTGCATACAAAAATTACACAATGAGAAAAAATGTACACATGCAAACCTAAGCAAATTAGCTGTTGACCTCATGAATTTAGACTTTCACCCAGTGGTGTAACAGAGCACAAGCTTCTTAGATTAAGTTCAACTGGACAGTGAGTGTTAATTTTTCAAAGGATTTCTAAGCAAAACCAGTCTCTTTTTTGAAGGCGAGGCTTGTGGTCATTATTGAAACAACAGTGTGACTGTTGAAGATGTTAACCTTTAATAGAGGCTGCCGTTTAAATAAATCTAATCATATTAACATAATCAGATTCCTACTTAAAGACTGCCGCAGGAGGAGAAACTAACTACAGGCTAAAATGCTTAATTGGATAAACTTTGGGGTTTTGTCATAATACCCTGATTTTAATTATTGAATTAGAAGAAAGGCTCAGTGCAGAATTGGTATCTCTTTTCACTGTATAAATGAAGGCGAATGTGCAGGCAGGAGTAATAATAGAACTCAGAGGAGGAGGAAGAGGAGGAAGGAATAGGCTGACCAGACAAGTGGGAGGAAACAGGTGAAATCACAAGGAAGCCAACGAGGTCAGGAAACAAAGAGTAACAACAGAAACCCACACATTAGATTCTGCTGTAGATGATTCAGAAACAGTTTTGAATGACCTGTACTGCTACAGATCTACTGAAGTGGGGTATTTAATAGGGAGTTTAATGCAGTGTTTAGTTTGGTGATGTGTTTCCATAGTACATCATACACTGGAGATTATAGCTAAAGAGAGGAGAGAGGGGGGTGGGGAAGAGAACGTTATGACAGACATACCTTTTCACCCTACAGCATAAATACGTTACCATGACAAGACTTAACCTGGGGCGATTAAATGCACAGAGAGAGGAGAGAGAGAGAAAGAACAAAGAGGCCAGTTTGGTTTAGTGTGTTTGTAATGTATCCCTTCTTATTCATCCCAAAAGTGACAGATTAAGGACTCAGACTCTAGACCCTTGTGGACTTGGCTTTTTGCATATCATGTATGTCAAATACTAATTCCAATACCTAGAGCTTTAGTGTAGGAGATACAGGGAATCTCTCCAATATAGCCGAAGTAAATTTTGGCAGTAAACCACTGATGCCTGCATTTTATATAGCTCTCAATCAGCAAAACTGTAGTTCTTCGTTATTTTCATAACTTTAGGAGGCTTAAAGTTTCCGGTATGTGTGATCAATGCATTGATGGTGATGCCCAAATACTGCATTTCAGGGAGTATACCGGAGGCTGATACAGGTACTTGTATCGGTATTGCCACAACTCTACATGTAAGGGAAAGAAAATGGCCTTTCTCAATCTCACAAAAACACACATGATGTATATCTATCAATTACTCCAGACTAGGAAGAACATAAAATAACAGTGAAGCAACATCTTTTTGGCCTTGTATAGATTGTTGTTTTCTGTTGAACTGAAGCTCAATTTCATCATATCCAGCCCAGTAGACTGCTTACACACAGCCCTGCAAACAAACAGTGTTCTGTCACTTGATGAAAGGCTCTAGCCATGTGGAATTGTGGCAGAACAGATCTCAATTAGAGGGATGGAAAGTAGGACAAAATTGCATGAGAGGGGTATGAGTTATTAATAACGGTTTGGATGACACTGTAGGTTATAGACTATACTACAATGTACATTTCTGTGTGTGTGTGTGTGTGTGTGTGTGTGTGTGTGTGTGTGTGTGTGTGTGTGTGTGTGGGTGAACAAGGGTGAGGTGCTTTGCCAAATTCTCCCTGCAGCTCCTCTGCATGCATGAGGGGCGTGTTCTGCTGTTATAAAACAAAACTCACAGTCCTGCAACTCCAAAGAGAGGCGGCCTGAATATACAGTAGGGGACATTCATCATCATCATCATCATCAGTCAGAGCATCTCTCTCTCTCTCTCTCTCTCTCTCTCTCTCTCTCTCTCTCTCTCCCTCTCTCTCCGTCCCTCCCTCAGACACCCCCACACTCAGTCAATCCACAGCTCTGTCAGTCTGTCCTTCCCTGTAAACACCTTCATCATCTCCTCTTCTTTCCTCTTCTTGCCACACAGCATTATGTCCGCAAACGGCGCAGACGGGGACTTGCTGCGGATCCCTCTGGGGCTCATCAACAGCGCGGGCAAGTATCTCACTGCGGAGACTTTCGGCTTCAAAATCAACGCCTCTGCCAGCAGCCTGAAGAAGAAGCAGACATGGACCCTGGAGCAGACCGGGGAGGACGGCAGCGCGGTTTTCCTGCTGACCCACCTGGGCCGCTACCTAGCCACAGACAAAGACGGGAACGTTACCGCGGACAGCGAGACGCGCGGTAAGGACTGCCGCTTCGTAATAACCGCGCACGAAGACGGGCGGTGGTCCCTGCAGTCCGAACCCCACGGCCGGTTCCTCGGCGGCAGTGAGGACCGGATCACGTGCTTCGCGCAAACCGCCTCACCTGCAGAAAAGTGGAGCGTGCACCTCGCCGTGCACCCCCAGGTGAATCTGTACAGCTTCGCGCGAAAACGCTTCGCCCACCTGAGCGCACAAGGGCAGGAGGTGTCAATAAACCGGGACGTGCCATGGGGAGTCGACTCGCTCGTGACTCTGGTCTACAGAGACGAGCGCTACCACCTCGAGACCTGCGATAACCGCTTCCTCCGCAATGATGGCAGCCTGTCCACTAAAACAGACAAGGATACTGGCTACATGCTGGAGTTCCGCTCTGGAAAAGTGGCATTCCGCGACTGCAGCGGCCGCTACCTGGCGCCTGCGGGCCCCACCGGTACTATGAAGTCTGGGAAGAGCACGCGAGTGGGGAAGGATGAACTGTTTGGCCTGGAGCGCAGCCACGCGCAGGTCGTGCTGACTGCAGGCAACGAGAGAAACGTGTCCACGCGGCAAGGTGAGGCTTTACAGACACTCAGAGCCAAAAAGTGTGAAAAAAAAAAAAAAATCACATTTTATCTTCATGTCACTGCTTAACTGGGCACACACACGCATGCAGCTGTTGCATGATATTCGTGCGCTAGAGCAGAATAGAGTTGGAGTTTCCCGTTACTTCATTTTACTAACGCCATGTGTTTTTCATTACCATGCTCTCTCCCCCCCTCCCCTCCCTTTGGCCACACTCTGCCTTGCTTAACATTTTTCTGCAGTAATTCTACCCCTGCATTATGGCTGCTGGTTCAGGGTCAGCTCCAGCCTACAGTCAGCTGTCATTCTCTGTCTCAGAATAGACAGAAAACTAAGGAGATGAGAGTTAAGGAGACAAAAGAGGCTGGAAAAAAAGAGGAGAGGCAGGAAAAACGAAAATGCTTTACAAAGAGGGAGATGTGACTCAAGAAAGTCCTGCTGAATGTGGATCTTTCGCTGCCGTGCACATGGGACTGATCATATAACCATGCAGTCGATATGCTTTAATGCAGGAGGAAATGGCTGTGTGTGTGTGTGTGTGTGTGTGTGTGTGTGTGTGTGTGTGTGTGTGTGTGTGTGTGTGTGTGTGTGTGTGTGTGTGTCTGTGGTGATGGATTGTGAAAGGAGGAGGATAATTTGTAGGTATGAGGTCAGTGTAGGGCAGTGACTCGTGACCTGGTCGTTCAATTAAGTTAGTGCCAGTGAAGGATTAAGAGACAGTGCTGGACATTCATTCACACATTATTATCAAAGGCCCAGCCCTTCTTTTCTGCTGAATCTGTAGCCAATAACTCTTACTGTTGCAGCAGGATCAGTGTGGGTGTGCAGCGTAGTGGTAAAATCTTTTGTTTTTTTTGTGTCAGCCTCCAAATGAAGCGAAAGATCTTTGTCACATAACTGCAATTAAACTGCAATTTAGGTCAAGATGGTAGAATTTCACAATTTTATTTATTAGCATTAAAGCATATTAGCAATTTTTGTGTCAACAGTGGGTCAAATGCCAACTTTTGGAAAAAGGTGCGGCATAGGCTGACTCTAAAACAGCATCAGGTTCTGCAGTTCCCCTCAGTTTCAAAGTGCTTAAGCATATTCCAGCTCATTTGTTTTGGTTTTAAGACCTGCAAATTTTAATTATTTGGTTCATTTGCACCATATTCATCAGTGGGTTCATCAGGCAACAATTTTTATTTGAGATTGATTATTCGTGATAAGAAAGAGGACATTTGGGGAGGAAGAGTAGGGATGGCATGCATCAAATGGTTGCAAGTCAGGAGTTGAACCAGCAACAAGGACTTTATCTCTTAATGGTGCCTGCTCTACCAACTGAGCTAAACCACCACCCCAAGGCAACTATACAAAAAGAGCAGTATGTATCGCTGAGACGTAGCGTTTAAAATTGGTACTGCAGTCCAAATTCAAAACATTGGAGAGAGCCGTTTTCCCTCAATGATATAGTAAGGTCATTTTATGATTTAATTCAGTAAATATCATACATATTGGTCGTTTAAGGACAAGTATCTGATGATCAGACTGTTTGTCTAGCACTTAATGGAACAATAACTCAGCAACTATCCAGAGAATAGGATAGCAAAGAGCCAGCCGTTCCCTCCGGAGTTGATGGAGAAAGTAGAGCAACGAGCAGAGTATTTTGACTGATAACAGAAACTTGCTTGATCTTTTTTTTTTTAGCCATCACACCCTTCCCTTTACTGTATGTAGTTCCTTTCTGGACTTAGATCATCCTCCAAACTGGTGTTGTAACACTGAGAGTCCTACCCCTTTAAGAGTCTATCTGGGAAACTTGATGAATTAGAGGGTAGAGCAGTTTCAGACAAGGACAGAAACATACAGAGGCAAATGAAAACTGACGGCTGACTGCCCCACTTTTCCAGGCATGGACCTGTCAGCCAATCAGGACGAGGAAGGGGACCAGGAAGTCTTCCAGTTGGAGATGAGCCGTGAGGACAGGAAGTGTGCCTTCAGGACAGCTGCTGGAAAATACTGGACTCTGACAGCCAACAGTGGACTGCAGTGCACGGCCTCCAACAAGTAACCACACAGACACACTCACACAAATACTGCATCCAATTGAATACTGTATAACACAATTTAAACTTACGTTTAAACAGATCCATCCTTAACGGCCTGCTCATTGAGCTTGTTGATGTGTGTCACAGGTCTGGCAATAGTTTCTTTGAGCTGGAATGGCGTGATGGTCGTGTGTGTGTACGTGCAGCTAATGGCAAATATGTGGTCGCTAAGAAGAACGGGCAGCTAGCTGCTACTGTTGACAACACAGGTCAGTGATGTTTCAGTTTCTTCTGAACATGACTGAACTCATGAATAAGGAGCAGGCGTGTAACATATAGTAATAACAAGTTAAAAATATGTTTTCATGCGTATGTTTTGAGTGTATTGTAAAACTGTCCTTGTAAAGTGATATTAGAGATAAATCTGGATTTTTCTGTATTTCTTCTCACAAAGGATATCTTAAATCTTCCTCTCTCTTCAAGATGCTGGGAACGAAGGCCCAGACCCAGTTTGACACAATCCATGATTTGCAGAACTTGTGCAAGATTGCGTATGCCAAGGGTTTACGCAGAAGCCTTTTGTGCATAAATGTTCACCGTGTCGTTTCATCATTTCTGATGTTGTGGGAATATTAAAGCAAAACATAACTTCAATCAGCCATCAAAATATTTCAAACAGTGTCCTGCGTTTTCAGGGGCACAATTCAAGGAAAAAAAGTCAAATGAGCTGGCCGAAGTTTGGTACATCTTAGAATAAAAACTGAAATCTGCCATGTAATTAACAATGGCTGGCACCTCGCTCTTAATGGAAATGAGCACGAACACTGATTGACTGATTGGTTTGATTTATGTTACACTCATAACACATCTATGTATACTCAAGAGACTTAATCCAATTTTTTCGCCCTGCACCTCACTTAGTGCCCACATTGTGCACCTTGCAACTAACAAAATGCAGTCCGACAAGTCCAAATCACTTTGCGCCATGCACTTTTGAGAGCTCACTTCACGCCATCAAAGTAGGGCCCCAAGTGTGCCTGGTCACAAGATTGCGTCTAAACATAACCTTTCTCTTCAGGGGATGCTGAACAGTTCCTGATGAAGCTGATCAACCGTCCCCTCATCGTCCTTCGTGGAGAGCATGGTTTCATCGGGACTCGTAAGGCTGGAATAGCAACCCTGGACTCCAACCGTGCATCTTATGATGTATTCCAGCTGGAGTTCCACAATGGAGCTTATTCCCTTAAAGGTAGGCAATAATGTGAAAAATATGACTTAACAGTTCTGTGGTGGTGTTCATGCATGTTTTAGTTACTTACTACAAGTCACAGAGTTTACATGACAGCAGCCCAATATAGCTGGTTAAGTTTGATAAGTTTGACAGCAGAATCAATAAAAAAAAGTCTTAAATAAACTATGAAGTAGGTATCGTATTTATTTATAGTTACGTTTCTGGCCACGTGGCAAGCACTCAGTTTAAGCTTTTTTTTGGTCTCCACCAAGTCCAGTAAGAAATAGTAAATTCTTTAGCAGAAAACCCTCTACAGTAAGCAGCTAGAAAGGCAACTTTCTGCTGATGCTGGAAATGTTGCGTCTAAAATGCCCATCGGCAGAGATAATGCTAATATTAGCTTAACTTGTTTCAAGGTGCCCTGCTTGATAATGGGTTCAGATTCCTTGTGTACTGAGCCAAAGAACAATCATAGTAATCTTCATACATTCTTGCTAATACACAGTTATAATTACATTATATACGAAAGTTATAATAATAGGTATATATTTGTATAGCATGTGTAGCAGAAGGCTACTTGTGATAGGCCATTACTGAAGTCTAGGTATTGGTATTGGAAAACAAATAGGTATCCAATCATATTTAAATAATTTCAGGTTTACATTATCCTCTTCAAATAGGGCTATAGTTCTCTCCTGTCTTTGTTCTTAGCCTTAAGAATAGTGCTCACCAAAGGCCTGTTAAACTCTACATTGCAGTAGAAAAAAATAAAAGTAAACTGAAATATGCGGAATAAATAATAAAACACTACATGGATAGGAGGAAAAGATACTAGATGGATACAAATATTTTTGAAATCTGAAACTGTTATCATTTCAACCAGCATATTTACCTGACCAATGAGCCAGTATGACCTCTTACCTTTGTATGTGTTTAATATTTACAGAAACTGTATAACTATAAAGTCTTTGCATATTTTGCATAGGGAGAGAGACAGAGACAGAGACAGAGAGAGAGAGAGAGAGAGAGAGAGAGAGAGAGAGAGAGTGTTAAGTGTGTGCTGTTTGTCCAGACTCCATGGGGAAGTACTGGTGTGTTGGAGACGACACGGCAGTGGTGTGCGGCAGCTCCACACCCGTCCAGTTCCTGTTTGAGTTCTGTGACCTCAACAAGATGGCCATACGTGCTCTCGGGGGGAAGTACCTTAAAGGAGACCACGCTGGAGGGCTAAAGGCGAGCGCCGACTCCCTGGACAACGCCACCCTCTGGGAATATTAAAAAAAGCACAGTCAGACTTCTCAACTGTCCGACACAATGCTTCAAACTATTCATAGATACTTTAGGTAGCTGTTTTTATTTGCATATGTGCGTGTGTGTAATTGTGAACTTGTCTGGATGGATGTGTGGTGGATATTGACGCTGATTAACTGGAAGTCATGGCACCAAAGCACTACAGGTGTTTCTTATTTTCTCGATGATCTCTTCTTACTGGAAATTTGTATGTATGTTGTTGCTTGATGAACGAATCAAAGTGTGGCTCCACATTTAAAAGTTTCACTTCCAGTCAAATTTACACAAACTGTACCTGATATATATCAGGATGATTATCGTTATTGGTTGTGCCTATCTATATGTGGAATGATATAACTCACAACGTACAATATCTAACTTTCTCCTGCTAATTGCTGACTCTATTGTGCTGCCTTCATATTTTGCTTTCAGACTATAACACATTATTAGATACATCAGATAATAGGGTGTTGTTTCTGCTGTAAATAAAGCTTTCTGTTCTGGTAAACACACAATGATGGACACTTTAAGTGCATGAATGTGTGAGACTGCAAAAAAAAGGGATGTGATTGGCAGATCTATTGTGCTTTGCCTGTATACCTCGAACTGCACCTTGTTTCCTTTCCCTTTCTGAGATGTGCAGGCAGACACATCTGTATTTAGACTGAGACATCTACACAATAGTTAGAATTCAAAGGAGATGTATATTCCATTAAGTTTTTCAATAATACTTTAAAAGGAAATAAATGAAAGAAGGTGTCAAGTTAAAGGAACTCTCTTTGTTAAAATGATCCTTTTTGATCAAAGGAGTGAAGGGGGCAGGGCTGCTTGTATGTACTACATACTCAAATGCATATGAATATACAAATACGCAGGCGTATACAAAATTCGCACTGTGACTTAGAATCTGCACAATGATGTAATGTCCAACTGCTAGCGACGAAAAGCACATTTTTGGAGTGTAAAATGTCTGCCTTAGTTTGGGTGCTGCTAGATGTGTAAACATTTGGAGAGAGTCAGTCATTTCTCCGGCTGTTACTGTGTCTGTGCCTTCCATAAAGTGTTCAGTCTTCTTCTTTTTTCAAGGTCCTACCATTGATAACAAACCGCAATAAAGTTTTCCCTCCAAACAGTGGACATTCTCATGGATTTTTTTCTCAGTTTGTTCATCCAGAGGCCTGAATCACCATGCATATTAGCGTGCTAATACTAGCATTAAAGTACAGTGTTTCAGAGCTGCTGTGTGACTGCAAATTAAGGATGGAACAAAATATCCAGCAATGTCAAGCATAAATTGTGTGATTATTGCATCTCTGCCAATTGCCCTTCTCTACTTCATGACTCCTGAGTTGCATATACATTCAGTTGCATATACATGAGAATAGAGCCCGACCGATTAATCGTATCGGCTAATTTTATCATAGATATGCGCCAATATTACTAGATTTATTCACCAGTCAAATAGCATTTCATGTGAGTATCATTGTATTACACTAGCAGTTCTCTTTCACTAGCAGTGTGCTTTATGGATTGCAACAAGTATCATCACTATCAGAGTGTCAAAATTGAACACATGATCTCAGAAATATATAGACCGATTTATCTGTAACAGATTCTTATTCTCTCCCTAATATGGATATCAGTATCGGATTGATGCAAACTCTTATAATCTTTTTCTCTTTGTGTTTGTAACAGCCCAGAAAACGGTGACTTGATGGATAAATTGAATGCCAAAGAGCTTACATATGGTATTGGGTGTCATTTTCCTCATCTTTGGTGGTGGCTTCATAGCTTTAAAGGGTTTATCAAACACAGACACCATCTTGTTCTGGTAAGAAAATCTTTGTCATGACTCTTTGCAACACTGGTGTGTGTGTGTGTGTGTGTGGGAGAAGGAATAAAAGCGCTGCATCATGTTCCCTTGGGATTTCTCTGAGCCAAAATTGTACGAAAGGAAGGAAGACGAGGGTGGAGATAGGTAACCTGCTCCACTTTCTCTGTCCCTCTGCAGAGGAAACTCAGCTCTCCTTCTTTTTATAAAAAGCACACACACACCACCATTCTTATCTGTGATAAATGTACCATCTTTGTTTAAAAAGACAGAGACAGGAACAAGCCAAAACACCTTCTTCATTCTGCACAATAGGATTTCAGCTTGTTGCCATGGTAACGGGTAATGGCAGGGACAGGGCTGGAGAAGCATGAATGTTCAAATTTGCAACAGACACACGGATGACTGATTTTATTAAACCGTAATCATAAAATTTAACATCTGCAGATGCAGTTTCTCAGGCATTCAGACACTTACTGACTGGAAAATGACTCTCAATGTAAAGCTCATGATAAGTGCAGACATGACACTGACTAAATTAATTGCAGGGCTTTGATGTCAAAACTTAAAGGTCACATTATACTCCTTTTCAACAAGTTTAAAAAACGTCTCAGAGCTCCCCAAAACATGTCTGTGAAGTTTCTTGTTAAAAATTGTCTGTCTGTCTAGCTTTAAATGCAAGTGAGCTGTGTTCAACCCCGCCTTCCAGGAAGGGGATGTGCCTCGGGCTTTCTTGCACCATGCCAAATTGTTTACAGTGAAAAGGCGGATTGAGAGGGCAGAACAAACATCTAGCTGAGGGAGTATCACCCACCTGGGGGAGGGGTTAATGCCCTTTGTGATGTCACAAAGGGAAAATCTCCAAACAGCCAGTTTGAGCCCACATTTTCTGAAAAGTGGAGCTGGTAAAAGATGGAGAGGATTGACTTTTCTCATAATTGGGGGATTTGTAGACGGGCAAGGGACACGTGTTAGTGTTAGAAAACAATAGTGAAGTGTATTTTGTAAAATATGTGACCTTTAGTGCCAGAAGAAGCGAAAAATGTTGCCTGGAGGGAGTAAAAAAAGTATGCAGGCAAAGAAAGAGCAAAATCAATAACTGAGAAAACTCATCCCAGAATTTCTGCATGAGAGAGGAAAGTCCTGAGTCAGTCAAGGTTACGAGTCTCTGAGCTACAACAGACAGAGGAACTCGTCTCAGTGATGCGCAGTCTAATCACAGAAAAAGAAAGTAATATCATTAGCCTCATAACATAATTGCCTAAGTCATATTTTGGCCAAATTGTGATAGCTGCGTAACTCTCCTAACACTGATGATTCACCATGCATTATTGGCTAAGTCCTCAGCCTATCAGAATGCTTTTTACACTCCAAAATCATTATCTGCCCAAGTCATCTCTTTGACTTAGGCATTTTTGATGCTACATACAAAGATAGCGGCTCCCTTGAAAAACAGGGCTCAGCTGACCACAAGTGAAGCATGAGCTCATCTCTTTGATTCATCTGGTAAGCTAGTTCATATTTCTTCAACTTTCTATACAGTAAATCTACTTTCACTCAATCTTAGGAATTATGAACTGCAGATGTGTGAATTCCAGTCACATTACTTGGAATGTGTTTTTCCTTCTTTTCTGAAAAGCTTAAAATATGAGTTAGGCAATTATACTATGAGGCTAATAATATGTGAAAATCCTTCAAATGTATGTTTGCAACAATGTAGGTGTCGGTAGCTCTTCACAAATAAAAACCCACACACTGTCGTGCCTCACACTGCACGGCTGACAAGTTGCAATTGGGCTGAAATCTGGTTCACTACAAAATTAGTCGTACGACTCAAAAATTGTGTTTAAATCAGCTTGAAATAGCACAGCGTATTCCAGGCTTTATTCATTGCTTTAGTAAACTTTTTCTTTAAAAGTATATTGTCTGTATTGCTGGACAAATCAGCTTTGATGCAACACGATGTTCCTGTTGTTAATGATGATGAGCACTAAACATAAAACACAAATCAGACTAATGGGGAAGCTGTTTCTAATCATAAACCAAAGATTTAGAACTGCCAATTAGGCATATGTTTTAAATGACTGATCAACTGATCAACATTGTCAGATCCCATTCCCACCCTATCGGGACATTTAATCAATCATGATGAAGAGTCAGTGCTCATCATTAAGGCTAATTCTCCCATCATTCTTAGTGAATGAATTTCCTCAGAATAAAAGTGGTTCAATCTGTGTGATAACTTTTCAATCAGACAGCTCTTAATAAAAAAATGATGAACAAGTTGGGCTGGATCATTTTCTAAATGTGCAGTTTCATTGGTTATGTGGGCTGTTTTTGTGTTTCTGTTGTGTTAAAGGGATACTTCACCCGTTGAAACATGACTCTGTATTGACATTGGGCTCCGGCGGCCAGCTGCCAAGTAATATTCTCCTAAAGAGCCCGCTGCTGCCATCTAGTGGTGTTTCACAGCAATTAATACACTGTATGGTCAGAAGTGTATGGATACCAGATTGTTTTGATGGATTGCAATTAAAAGCTCTCTTCTTTTTCAACACAACAAATCCAGTTCTATAGATTAAATATTTATTCTGTTTGGTTTGGAAGACATGCACAGAGCCCTTATCTCAACCTTCACCTCAGACATTTGGGAGGACCGTTGAACGTTGGCTGTGAGCCAAACTTCATCAACACAAATATTTCGCCAAACTCAGCTAAGTTATGTACCTTTAAGGCAGGGTTGGTAATTTTATCCAAATACACTTTTTAAGATTTTGGTTGAAACAGCCCTTATAGGTTCTTCTGACAGAAATAAATAATTCATGTGCCACTAAAAAGGAACTAAGGAAACCTGTCATAGCAGTTGTAAGCCTGTAAAAACTTAGAAACCCATGTTTGCCACGAGGTACCAATCTGATGAACCAATCATGCCTCCCTGTCTCCATGCTGGTTCTCTACCTCTTGTGTGCACTAGCTCACACTCAAAGCGCATCACCAATGACAGAGTTTATACTGTGAGTTGTTCGTTGGCCATTGTGGGTCGTAAAAAATAATCACTTTTCTTTCATGTATAATGTTACAGTTTAAAGTTTACTGAGTGCTAAATGAGACACAAGGCGACGTAGTTTCTGCACAATGCAAGTGATGAGCTGAAGTCGACTTCTGGAGCAACGGAGCTCGTAAATGTAAGTGAGGGGCGTGTTTTTGAGGGAGCACAGAGGGGAGGGGTTGGGTGTAGACGGTGAAAACGGAGCATTGAGTCAATGCTGCTTTCAAAATATTGATAGGTTTCAGAAAATTACCAACCGTGCCATTAATGAGAGCAATTCTGTGTACATTTCTGTTGAGTAAACAGCCAGAAACCAAAATAGTGGAGGCATACAAGTGCCCATAGTTTAAAAACGCGACATCTACTAATCACACATAGGTGACACATGAAGGTTTTCACACTGTGTTTGCGTGCCCCACTCTTTTACCCTTGTTTCCTATGTCTTTTTATTAACCCTGTCCCCCCCCCAAAAAAACTCAAGACACTGTAAAATGTAAATAAAAACACAACATGATCAAAAGTTGATACTGAAAAGGTCATTGTTTTTGGAAAATTATATATCCATTTGAAATGTCAATATTTTACAAATCATCACATTTGTTTTTAGGAAGCCAGTAGAGAAAAGGATGCATGACAAACGGCTGCCTTGCAAAATTCAAAAAGAAAATTTCCAAAAATAATCTTTCCCCCAAAATGGCATATACAGCAAAAAAGTGTCATATTAAAGGTTTCCCGACAGTAAGCTATTCAATAAACGTGCAGTTGAAATCATTTGCTAAGATAAGCTTTTAGGTAGTTTTCCAGTTTTGTTTTGTTCTGGACTGGTCTTATTTACTCTTATTAAACAGGAACAACAGGCCTTCTTCAAGGGTAGAGATAAGAGGTAGAACAAACTAATTCCACCCAAACACACCCACTCACACACAGGTATATATCGCAGTGTCTCTTTGCATACTGATAGGCTAGCCACATCCAGCCAAACAGTGTGACACAAGACATGTTTTGTTCTGTATCTTGGAACAATTGACTGACCATAACACGATAACAACAGATCACAGTAACATGACCGACTGGAGAAACAAACTTGGATGTTCTGTTTTAATGCTGTTAAACAATTCCAACTTGTATTTCATAAGCCTTCTCTTTCTACCCATCTGTTTGTCTTTACACCACCAATAAGTACTTCCCACGAAATGTTTATGGTGGCAATCAGGCTGTAGAAATATTATATAGCAGACAATACTTGAATGTGTTTCCAGTCTTTTCGATAAGAGGAATTGTGCAGACGTGCATACAGTGTTCGATATGTGTGTATGTGTATTAAAATCTTTGTGGAAGATCAGTGAAGATAAACCGTCCATGACTCACAGGCGGGGTAAACATCACTCACGTGTCTGTATCTGTGTGCATGAATGACCAGCTCTTTAAGCCTACAAGACCTGAGCCAATGAGTTCACATCACAACAATGGACCAAGAGCTAAACCAATCAGGGAAATGAGCCAAAATTAAAAGTATGGTCACAAGACATAATGTATGAGTTTAAACCAGTGACACACAATGACGCCTTAAGGTTCAGAGATAATGTGCCACATCCTAAATTCTCTAGGACAATTGACCAATACTTCTTTACGTTTCTGAGTTAAGGTATTTTTTAAATTTCTGTTTATGCATTATGCACTCTGCAGCCGTGTGCAAATGTTTTTATGCATTTATTCAGAAAGGACACAGGATAGTGTCTGAAACAGGAGAGAGGGAAAGTTGGGGGTGGTATGCAGCAAAAGAAGCCAAAGGTCTGATTTGAACTAGAGCCGTCCGCTTCGAGGACTACAGCCTCTTTACATGGGGTACGCATAATAATGAAAGTGGGTGTCGCCTGCCACCCACTTTCATTATGTTCATGCTTGAGCTGCAGAAACAGCGTGGATGGAACTAAAAGAAAATACATCATAGTTTATGGCTCAAAACTATACCCATTAGAAATGAGCCAAAAATGTATTTACAATAAGTGTTTTTACAACAGAAAATGTGTTTTACTTGGATTCCACATTCAAATGCAGTTTAATTTTTCACAGATTTTGATTCGGCCATTACATTACAATTGATTAAAACCCATGATATTGTTCAGACATCATTTTTGTATCATATGACTGTTTTTGTTGTCTGTATTGGCCTTATTGGCCATTTTACTTTTGTAAAAGAAAAATTTAATATAACTCAAATGTTACCTTAGTTATTAATGTATGCATCTCATAGATGAACTACCTCAATATAAATGCAGTAGTTAGAGTTGCACTATTGTTAGACCAATCATTAAAAAGCTGTTTACAATATTTAATCAGTTATAAATGATGCAATTATTTAATTTTATTATCTGATGAGAACTGACATTTTAAGGCTGAAGTTTTTATGTAGATAATTGTTTCATAATTCTGAATTTGAACTACTTGTACTTATAAATAATCTGTTATCCTCTACAGGGACAGGCTGTATTTATTGTAACAGGTTAGTGACCATGAATGACCTCAAGTAACGCTGCTCTATCTCATTTCAGTGCATTGATAAATGAAATGGGTGGAGAAATGTAGTCATGTTTCCTTGTGCTTTCCAAGCCTCTAAGAAGCCTGTATGTGGTTGAAGTGACTCATGTTTGCTGTAAACACGAACATGTGCCTTTGTGTCCAGTGGGAGTCCCTCTGATTGTTGACATACAGTAAAACAGAATTCATTGATGTTTCCATGCTGCCAAATGTCAGAGTGATGTGTTGTATTGTTGTGAATCCTTCCTCACCTGGTGCAGGAGGGAGTGACTAACAGAAGGAGGGTAATCTGATTGGCTGAGAACAGCGGCGGTCAGCCTATAAGTGCATATAAATGCTTAAAGATGAGATCTGAGCATCATCGGTGGAAGCAGGATTCAGTTAACAGCCAGTAGTCGAATACTCTTGGACTGGACACCCGCGAGCTCAACAGGTCACATAAGCATGTCTCCATCAGGGCGACCAAACACGGTCCGGCTGGTGTTCCTCGGGGCAGCTGGAGTCGGCAAGAGCGCGCTCATCCGCCGCTTCCTCCACGATCGCTTCGAGCACAAGTACACGCGCACAGTGGAGGAGCTTCACGTGCTTGAGTGTGACATGACCGGGTCTGGGAAGATGCGTCTGGAGATCCTGGACACAACCGGGAGCTACTCGTTCCCGGCCATGCGCGAGCTATGCATCCGGCACAGTGACGCGTTCGCCCTCGTGTACGCCGTGGACGACCCCGGGTCCCTCGACGAGGTGAAACGGCTCCGTCGCGAGATTCTGGAGCTGCGGGTCGGCAAGAAGGCGCCCATCACTGTGGTTGGCTGCAAGTCGGATCTGAGCGAGGCGGAGGGTCGTGTGCTCCGGACGGCCGATGTCATGGCCACAGTGGAGGGTGAGTGGGATGCAGACTTCGTGGAGGCGTCCGCGCGCACAGGTGGAAACACGGTGGGAGTGTTTAGCTCGTTGTTGCAACAGATGCAGGTGCCACGCCGACTGAGCCCAGCGGTGTGGAGGCGCAGAGACACGGAGCCCAAAGCGGCAGTGAAGAGGAGACCTCCACTGAAGAAGAACCACAGCTGTGTCCTGTCATAGAACATTTTATGTGATGAAAATGAACTCTGCAGCTGGACTGCTGATCTCCACGTTTTGCTGGTCATCACTGATGGAGATTTGGAAGGAAGGTCCTTCAATAGGCCTATATGAAATTATAAGTATAGGTGATTAATGCCTGATTTAGGCTATGGCCTAAAGGATTCATGTTCAAGCTTCACGTTTTATGTCGGCTAATTTATTTTGTGATTTTATTTGTCTTTCCTTGGATTTTTTAATTCACTCCACCTCAATGTCAATATAGTCTGTCACCTACAACTGACATTTTCATTGAAGACTAGGCTTGTATTCAAGAGATACAACAACAACAACAACAACAACAACAAATCCAAAAAGTGAAATGTCTGCTTTTACAATTGCAATAAGTTTAGGCTATACAAATATCGTCAAGTAGGCTTGGCCAAACGCAAAACGTTCTTAACCACGTCAGTGTGACAAACAGATTTTTTAAGTGTAGGCTACTAAACAGCTGAAAAAGTAAAAGTTCGTGTCCACAGCTTTAGGCTATAACGCCATCTCCGACATGCCTCCTATGTTACTATTTTTTATTATTCACAAGTCATGATCGTCTTTACATTTACACAGAACAATGAACAGACATGAATCAAAAGCATCATCACCACAAAAAAAAAAACTCCTTAGGATTAACAAAAACCTTCAGCTGTGAACAAGAAGTCTGTGTCACTGTCTTGAGCTGGAACATTTGATAAACAGATTCATCTCACACATTACAATAAACGATGATAGACTCCTGCCAGCAGCTTCCCCTTAAGCTTAAGATAACTTTGCACATAGGCCCAGCACACAACAAAGGTTGTTTGCTTTAAGTACGAAACTTTAACTTACGGTTTTAATGCAGCTCGTTCAGACATCTTAATTATTATTATTATTATCTATAATAATTAGGCCATTATTATCTTATTAATTTTATTGCTTTTAACCTTTTTATCTTTCTCTTCTTTAAATGTATCCCCCTCTGTATTAATTTTACTGCTCTTAGTCTTTTTAAATTCCTACTCCTATTATCGTTTTACTCTTCAGCTCTCTGTTGCTTTATTCATTTAACCAATCTCCTGTTTATCCCTTCTTTTTATCTTAATTCTGTGTTTACAGCCTGTGATGTGTCCCACTCTCCCTCAATTTTAATTTTGTTCTCCCCTGGTTGATTTTAAACTAATTTTCCTTCATTGTATTGAACTGCCTCTCCATACCTGCCTGTTGAATCTATATTATTCCTGTTATTTTCTGCATTTTTACAACTTTGCCCTCTCTGTTTGGCCCCTCTGTTGATCTCTGTTCTAAACATTTGTTTTTAAAGGTGCTAAATAAAGCTATTATTATTATCTTCTTCATCGTTCTCATTATTCTCCATGGTTGGCTTCTCTGTGCTTGAAAAAGCAGTGTGGGATCATTGCTGTACCGACACAACACAACCAGGCCTTGCACACAACAATTTTCAAACCCACCAATCAAACAGCATCAGCAAAGGTGAAGGGTCAACATCTGAAACGTCACTAAGTGAAATAAAAATAATATTTTTGGGGGCTTAAGATCCTACAAGCTTTCCCTTATAGGGCAGGCCTATCTGTTGTAAAGGATCGTTACCAACATTCAACTGTGATATTTTTTCTATTTACAAGACATTAAAGAATTAGTTTGTTTTCTTGAAGTGGGGTTGTATAAGATAAGTGTATTAGCCAATAGGCATAATAAAATGACCTGCATGTCTTCATATTTAGGACACACAAATTCCCACCAACACAAAAATCCACATGTTTAGTTGGCATTCTGTGTCAGTATATAAATCCAAACAGCCTTTTCTAATTATTTTTCCTTCCTTTTATATTGTTATTGATGGAGGTCAGCTGCCATTGTTAGCTTCAGTTGGTGCATAGGGAACATTCAAATCAGTCATTGCTTCGAAAAATAGATGTTTTGTATGCTTTGTATATAGAGGCAAATCATGCAGTTTAGGGTGGTAAACAAACATAAACACACACACACACACACACACACACACACACACACACACACACACACACACACATACACACAAGCAAATAAACAAAAATTCTGAAGTGGAACAGAGACAACAAACCCACAGTCCTCATGGTCAATTCATCCATCCTCTCCTCATCCACTTATTCCCCCTCTTGTCTTTCTCCACTTGCCATCATGTTAGGTCTGAAATACAGTGCAGTTGAGTGCTTACTGAGCACACAATATCTGAGGAGGCCCGTTAGATGAGGCCCTGGACTTATAATATATTTTTAGTATGATAAATGAATATGCAACTGTTTTGATTTTATTTCGGCAAACAATCAAAATAACTCACTTTTTTGTTGCAAAAACCTGTGCTGTCTTTTGCCAAAGCAATGGCCAGGACATTCTAAAAGATCCTTAATCTCAAAGATGTTTTTTTCTGAATATATTACATTAAAGAAAAATGTACGTAACCATATGGAATATAAATTGGTTCAATGCAGGTTTCAGAAGCAGGTTGGCCTTTTAGCACCTTATTTGTACATGTACTGTATGTATTGTATTTAACAATGATCATGAACATTTTCAATGAGAAGCAGTTGCAGTGGGTATTCACGAGGGTCATAATGATATTTGGAGTGGAGGATTGGAAAAATGTTATACCAACAACTTAATGACGGAAGCGTCATCGTTTTCCCTTCACTGTTTAATTTGGAGAATACCTCCCTTTTCTAACAGGAAAACAAACCAACATGTTTGTTTCTTATTCATCTTTGGGCATTGCAAAATAGCTTAAGTTATAAATGCTGGAGTGCAGTTTACTTGTTTCAATGTCCCTATACAGATAAACATGAAATAAATGATAAAATTACAAAAATATTCACTGTATTTGACACGCCAGAGTTGTTGAAATAAGTTGACGTAATGCATTTCACCTTTTTAGGCTAAAAATGCTCCTTTCTAAGTAAAAGGGTTGCATTCAAAAGTTGAATTGAGTTCAAATAGAGCGCTAACAACACTTACTTAAAGAAACACAAGTTATCATACTGAGCCTGCAGGATATAGGATATCATTTCTATAGGCTGTGTGTTTGGAGTTTGGATTCCTACTTGAGTAATAAGATGCAAGCAGCAGCTCAAATGTTGTCTGGTTGCAGTTCAGCTCATTTCACAACTTCATTTCTATTGATCAACATTTTAATAAAGTCATAGCTGTGTCATGTGAAATCTGTAGCCTACATGAAAAGCATTTCAGAATTAGTAAACAAACAAAAGTAGAATAACAGTAAGGAACAGTGGTGGAAAAACACACAGAGTCATGCATTATTTAGAGACCTGTTAATCAACCACATTTCAAGATAGCTTAATCTAACTTTATGTAGCCTGTAGTTAAGTAGCCTACATTTTATATTAGATGTACTGTGTATTGTACGTGTAACGTGGGATTTTAGTGGGATTTACAAGGAACATAAACATGTTGCTCTCTGACTTTTATCTAGGATCAAAGATGTTCCTTATTTAACCAAGAAATCCACAACATGTTGTGCTTAACAGCTGTCATTACCAACACCTCTCACCCAATGCAGACTCTCAGATGTGAACTTTGCTTTTTTACTTCCTTCCATTTGCCATGCACCTTAACTGCCTCTGCTTGATCTGGTCTCATACACCACATCACTTTATTCTATCCTTTCTATTTCAGTATTCATACAGTTCTGGTTACTTTATTCCTGATGTTTCTTATCCATCATTGCACTACAGACACTTTATTTATCTCATTTGTACCTTTACAGTTATATTGTATATATTAGTTCTGTTGTTCCATTATTCACCATGCACCTTATTAACTTATCATTTAGTATTTGCCTACTTGCACATAGCTCTGTATATATATATTTATTTCTCATTTACTGCACATAGTTATGGTTACATCTGTTAGTCCGATCACTGTCCACTTATATCTACTCTTTTATATTTTATATTTTGTATTTTTAAGTTAAGTCTAAGCTTTAAGTTGTAATTAAATTGACACTTTATATTTAGTTTAAAATGTTTCGTACTTGCACTGTTGTTAATTTACTGCTCTGTGTGCCTTTGAATTGCCCCCCGGGGACAAATACAGTTTTTTTTTAATTAAATTGAATTGAATTGAATTTAAATACCATTCCGACTACATTTCCCATCAGTATTGTGTTTCCGGAAAGGATCGGCATCAGAAACCGAAATTCAGCCAATCACACCGCAGGATATTCCGTTCTCGCTCAGCGATTGGCCTCTTTTTGCACTGGGCTTCCCACGATGCTTTGCGGCACTGCCTTGGATTTCAAATCGAGCGGACCAATCACAGCTCGCCGGAACAAACGAGGCAGCATTTTAAACTTGTCCTGAAGGCTGTTGTCAAAAAGGCAGGAGACGCTGCAAACACCGGAGGACCTTTTCGGCGACCAGTTTCATGTCTGCCCCAGGTTTTTATTCGTCTTGAGATTAGCATTATCTGTATTTTAAATGTTAGTGTAAAAGTTTGAAAAGTCGTTCACGTTAGTTTTGATTTGAATTATCCAGTTTACTCGAAGAAGCGAGGGCTGAACTAACGTCGGTTACAATAGTTTGACTCGTTAAGATAATATCCAAACATCGAGTTTTTTAAAAGCTTATTTTAAAGGCGAACATTACTTTAACCCCAAAATGAGCGCAGGTGTTGCAAAACCGGCGAATCCGTCGTCACACGTCGACCCGAAGTCGGTTCCTCTGAAAGAAATCCCAGATGTGCTGGTCGACCCTCGCAACATGAGGAGATACGCGAGGGGGAGATTCCTCGGTAAAGGTGGTTTCGCCAAATGCTACGAGATCACAGATTTGGAGACGAAGCAGGTTTTCGCCGGTAAAGTCGTGCCCAAGTCCCTGATCCTGAAGCAGCACCAGAGGGAGAAGATGACCTCGGAAATCGCCATACACAAGAGTCTCGACCACGCCAACGTCGTCGGCTTTCAGGGGTTCTTCGAAGACGACGACTTTGTCTTTGTCGTCCTGGAAATCTGCAGGAGGAGGGTGAGTGTGTTATTAAAGAAACATTGTTCCTCTCAGTGAACCCACATTACAGGGACAACGATTATCACGACGGCCTCTCCCCTTGTCCTAGTGGAGGCAACTTAAATTGCAAGAAAAAGCAATTTCTAAATAGAGTTGCTTGAAATAATCTAATTTTTTTTTATATATTTCAATCCTTAATATCCCCTCACTTTTTTTGCTACTATGACCCCATACCAAATATTACCTTAACTCCAGGCCACCCCGCCTTACAAACTATTTGCAAAATGACACCCCATTTGAAATTGCATTGTCCTTTTTTCAACCCCTTAAAGTTACAAATCTGAGTCACTGTCTCGATTTGTGGTGTTTGCCGCCTCTTGTCTTATTTCTAGTTTCTCTTTTCAGTCCTTGTTGGAGCTGCACAAGCGTCGTAAGGCTGTGACTGAGCCCGAGGCCCGCTACTACATGTCGCAGCTGCTTAAAGGTGTCCAGTACTTGCACAACAACAGAGTCATCCACAGAGACCTGAAACTGGGCAACATCTTCCTCAATGATGACATGGAGGTCAAGATAGGTAAGTTGCTGTCTTACACTACAAATGATTTCATTTAACTCTGAGCATTTCTTGTCACATTGCAGACAGGGATTATAAATACTTTCATTAAAGTCTTGCATAAACAAACGTTCTGGCCCAATGATAAAATAAAGGACACACCTCACAGCTGACATAAGTCGTACTTCCTGGATGATGGATTATCCACTGGTTAGTGGGGATGTTTCTCACGGGGACTCAACACGTGCACACAACCTAACACCTTTTCCAACCTCGATGTGCGTAAACTCATGTCCTCCTTTCTCCTCCAGGTGACTTCGGTTTGGCCACTAAGATCGAGTTTGACGGCGAGAGGAAGAAGACCTTGTGTGGAACGCCCAACTACATTGCACCTGAAGTGCTTTGTAAGAAAGGCCACAGCTACGAGGTGGACATCTGGTCACTTGGATGCATTCTGTATGTTTGACACAAGCATGGAAAGACACTTGGATATTTTTTTTGCTGAATAATCAAAAGCAGCACTATTCCATTGAGACAAACCTCTGTTTTATGTGTTCTCTCAGGTACACTTTGTTGGTGGGTAAGCCCCCATTCGAGACCTCCTG